CAGGTGTCAATGTAATTCAGAACTACGGACCAACTGAAACGACAGCCTATGCTTTGACTAAAAGGATGAAACTGCTAGACAGACCGAATAATATCGGTTGTGGAATAACAAATGTTGTTGTCACGGTAAGAAATTTCTGTGGTGAGATTGTGCAAGAAATGGGAGTAGGAGAATTATGCATAAAGGGAATTGGGATCACTCGGGGTTATGTTATTTCAAGTGATGTAATACGAGAAAATGCTGAGAAAGAAATTGAAAGCAAAAAATTTGGTGAAGTAGATAGTTGTTGTTCAATATCGCCAGGAAATAATTTTGGTACCAAAGATATGGTCCGAATGCAACCAAATAATGAGATTCTTTTCCTAGGACGATACGACAAGCAAGTAAAGATTCGTGGATACCGTGTTGAACTCGGTGAAATTGAAGCCATTCTTTGTCAGTATCCGCAAGTTAAGTCTGCGAAGGTAATTCTGAAATTAATAGGTCAACAGCGACAGCTTGTAGCTTTTGTTATATTATCGGATTTGTTCGAAAATCGGTTCCATCCCGCTGCTATACGACATTTCATGCAACAGCATTTGCCGTATTACATGATACCAATTCAATACCATTTCCTACAGCAATATCCGCTTACCAAAAATTCAAAAGTTGATGTCGAAGCTTTGGCGATGTCACAGAATCCTGAGAATGACCAATGTTTGAAACATGCAGAACCAGAAAACAGTATGGAATCGATGTTGCTTGGATTCTTCCGGAAAGTCCTCCAGAATGACAACATTTCGGTAAATGATGACTTTTTCGCAGTGGGTGGAAATTCATTTTCGGCAACGAGGCTCACTGAATTGATCGAAGCTAATGTTGCGCATTGTATCGGTATAAGCAATGTTTTTCGTCATCGGACAGTGAGAAGATTGTCACAGCACATTCTCCATTTTCATAAAAAGTCAAGTAATGAGATTTATGGGATTCAGAAATTTTCTGGGATAAACAAGAGCGATTTCAATCTTGATAACATTCCTTTAAGCTTTCAGCAGCAACAATTTCAATTTCTGAACGAAACAAAAGAACGGCAATATTATGAACTCATATTTGTACAAAAATTTGACGCATCATTGAGCCTTCAACATTTGAAATTGGCTTTTCTGCGCCTAATTTTACGACAACCTTCGTTTCGAACAATTTTTCCAGAGCGAAATTTTGATGTGCATCAAGAAATACTTTCTGGGACAGAAGTTTATTTCTACAGTAGTACAGTACAGAGAAGCTCTTTTCCGAAAGGACTAGTATCTTATAATGAAAATACTACTGAAGAAAAGATAAAAATACTTCAGGACGTGGAAGTAAACCTCAAAAGTGAACCACCGGTTTTATGTGCAATTGAAGTAACCAGCAGTACATCTCATACTGTTATTCTCCGAATAAATCATATAATTAGTGATGCATGGTCAACGAATCTTCTGGAGAATGATTTAAGTGATCTGTATCAGAAAGTTCTGAAAAACAAGCAGTTCGATAGTAATTCAAAACTACCTCTTACATATGCTGAGTATTCCATCGAACAATTTGAACAGAAACATTTCTTAGAGGGACTAGCAGCTAAATATGCTGATAAGATTCTGAAATGGATCATAAATGATCCAAATTACAATAACATTTTGGAGAAATGGGAAAGAACTGAAGGTCAGATGAATCACTCTGGTTTAGTTAATCAGAATTTAGGTTCTCGAATTACCAGCAACTTTGTTCACTATACGAAATCAACAGATTTCAGAAATTATTCAGAAGCAGAATTTACTTTCGAAGTGAAGAAGATTGAAAAAATTTGTGGATATTTTGAAACTACTCCTCTTGTAGCTTTTCTTAGTGCATTTGCTTCATCTTTACATGAATTATCTGGCATAGATCAATTAATTATAAATGTAGCAGCTGCCAACCGCTCGTCCAAGACAAACAATATCATAGGTAACTTCCTCAACTATTTATTCATAAACAGTGCAAACAACCCTTTAGAGAAGACTGATATCATCAGTGCCACTTCGAGAAATGTCAATACCACTTCGAGTAAGTCAACAATGGAGTTATCTGATCTTTCCACTATATATGCAAGTTATGTAAAGAAATATGTAGAAAATATTGATAGAGCAGTTAATGAAAGCCGTCAATTCGAGCAAGTACCGTTCATTCCACTTTTAAAATTACTTCGAATTAAACTGAAAAAACTGAAATCACCAAGTGTTGAAGTGCTGAACCGTCTTCACAAAACTATATTTTTTAATTTTCGCTATGGATTGGAAGAAAATCGTGAATCAGTATTAGGAAAAGGTGAAACTCAGGCACCAATGAATTGTACTTACGAAATTGAAGTGGAAATAGATCGTGCAAAAAGTTATTATTCTTGTAGAATCAGAATGAAAAATCGAAGTAGTCTCAAGCATACCTCGGCACTATGTCGACGAATGTTTTCTTTCTTACAACAGATGTCAATTAATTCTAATATTCAAGAAACAACAAAAGACGAAATAATACCTGAAGAAAACTTTTATCTACCATCTACGAATGATCATATTGTTGATTTAAAATTAAGAAAAATGTGGAGTGAATGTTTGAAGAAACGTTGGATTAAAGATGATGATGATTTCTTTATGGAAGGCGGAACTTCGTTGCTTACTCTAAAATTAAGACGTCTTATTGAGTCAGAATTAAAAATCCATATTGAACTTGATGAAATATTCAAATATAGCACTTTCATACAGCTAAGCAATTTATTACAAAAGCGATTTATTAACATAGCTCATTCTCTTTCGGACAACACAATCGGACTTATGAATCCTGAATCTAGAAGAAACACTGATTCAGCAGTACAAATTGATAAAAAAATGTCTAATAAGCGTGGTACTTCAAAGGAAACAGAAATTTTACAAACATCTGGGAATTTGACAACAGTTCGATTGCTTTATCAAAGCGAATCAGATATTAATGTTACTGGAAGTGCGGTAGTCGTTTTTTTCCATGCGCTCGTTGGCGGCGTGACATGGACATATGCACCGCTGATAAAGCAACTGATGAGAAGGCTACCTCCTTCAAGCTCCTTCAAAATAATCGGTGTTGAACACCCAAATAGTTTTTCTCGATCTTCAAAAGATCCCAAATTCCACCAATCCATTGAAAGTTTATGTTCCAAATATATACGAGATTTGCATGACGACTTATGCAAAGTAAAAATACGCTTATTCATCGGTGCATCATTTGGAGCAATTCTGGCTTACCAATGTGCAGTACAGTTACAGCAAGAAGGTAAACTCTTACTTTTTCACTTTTATAAATTCTCCCATTTCTATCTACAAAAGACATGTTGACAAGAGACATAATTTTTTTGAATATCCGGAACAGGTACAACGAATCGGAGGAATCATTGTCCGCCGATCAAATTTATGTATGGATTTGTAAATAACTTTAAACATTTCATACATCTCGAAGAAAACTTTATTGTAAAAACCTTATTATATTTTTATTGTTCCTTTGTCCCTATAAATTTACTTTATCTAGGAATGAAATTTTCATATTTTTTTCCATCGTTATTTCAGGAATTCATATAAACGACATAATATCAATTGATGGAACTGCGCAATGGCGCAAAAGCACATCCGAGACAGAACTGGCGTCTTATGAGGAGCATCACCGGCAGATCAACAAAATTGTGAAATATCATTGTGGTGGCACGAAAGTCGATAGTGAACTACTGGAAGCAATGACCGAAAATGCTTGGGAGTTGCTGAAGATGATGCACATTTACATCCCAAAACGAAGTCTAGAAGTCCCTCAGCTTCACGTAACTCTTCTGAGATCGCTTGCTCAAAAAACTTCGGAAGCTGAAGAGGATTACGGTTGGATTAACCTTTGCTCTAGAACTATCATAGATATACCATTTTCGCATGATACAATGCTTCATGACTGCAACACTGATACAATTGCTGATATTATCTTACAGATTATACAGAAGTTAGACGAAAGACAACTTTTTCACCGAAATATCACTAATGTCTCTGTCGATAAAACCTTACAAATTATCTAAAACCTAATTTTCTGGCTGAGTATTCTTAACCAGCTCGAAGTATTAACCATTAATGAAGTTTTATCTAAGTGTCGCGAAACTCGAAATAATCTCACGAACTTCCAAATAAAATTGTATTAATCCATGATACTAAGATTCGTTTTAATTGAAAATTAGAAATGTAAAACTGTTTTAAATTGCATAATGTAAGCAATCATTATTTCAACACTCATCTTCCCATTGTAATTGAGCTTATCTGCTTGTCATCTGATAACAAAGGTGTATGCATTGTTTAATATGTTAAAAATTACTTCTTTGTTCCAAATCAAATTTGATTACAATGTCGAAATATTGTAAAGATTTTCTAAGCTAATAGTCATTCTTTGAGAAGCTATAATATTAAAATCCATTCCATATATGTTAATATTTATATACTGTGGTTGTTAGCAAATAAAATCATTACAGCATTCGTCTATACCTTTCATTTAACATACCACAATAACAAACAAGGAAGGCCTTTGAATATACAAAAGTCCAATTCGACTCTAAGCCACAAATTATATTCAAACTGAACCCCAACTTTCACAATACTAAGTGCAATATAAGTAAAAATAAATACTGAGTAGAAAATATCCTTTCTTGTTTCTGAAGCAAATGAATATACAAATCACCGTAATTATGGATATTTTTCATCGTTTGTCAACTAATTGTGACACTTAGAACTTCAATTCATCGTGACTTTGGAACTCACCGAATCCCGAAAAAAACTTGAAAGCAACCACTTATTTATACCTCCCCCCTAATTTTTCGGCAAGATAGAAATGGTGACCGCATTCAGAATCTTATGAAAGATTTGCTTTGCTTTAGAATAATATTTATCATGATATAAATATAGCAAATATATGGAATAAGTAAAAGTTTCGTACAAAGTACTTCAAAGACACAACATTTATTTGGCATTTTTCTTCTTTAGCATATCAAAACGCCTCGCTAAATCATCAAAATCAAGTTCATCATTATCACCACCTGACTGTTGTTCATCACTAGTTTTCGCTGATGGGAACGATGCTGAATCCAACATTCCGGGTAAATCGTTTGGTGGTTCTGGGAACTCTGGTGTAGCTGCAACCAGAAAATTTGGCATACTTTTTTTTTTTTAATCTCATTTTCATAAAAAGTGCAAAACAAATGAACTAACTATTATGATTCATTTTTGAAGGTAGCGGATGAGCATCTGTGGGAGGAGCCGACGGGAGACCTGGTGATGTATTCGGCTTGATTTTAATGTTCCCTGATGAATCATCGACCTACAAAACAATCCTATAGTACCTCCCGTAACTTATCATTTCTAACTGTAGTGCAAACAGTGAGCACGAGAAAATCAAAGGAAAAAATTTTGTGACAACTACAGGGTTGATTTAAATTTTAAACAATAAACATGAATGAAATAGGAAACGAAAAAGATCAGAATATATACACGAATAATTCCAGCCATACTTATGATTATGTAATGAATAACATAGAAACATACCTGATTCAAGCAAGGATAATTACAAGCTTTATAATTATTTACGAGTGATACTGGTGCAGAAGCTGGAATACCTCCCTCATCGAAAGCATCTTTAAACCCCGCAGGGGGGGGTAGCGGCCCCGGGTAGTATCCTGAAAAGCGTTAAACATTCTCATGAATTATAAACATAACTCAGAAAAAATGACTTCGAACAAATCATGTAATGCTGATAGCAACAAAAAAACATGTGCTAACCAGATCCTTTATTTGTCGGTGAAGAAGGTGGCTTTTTACTATTTGAAACGATGTCATCGGGATACATCCAACCATAACCTTGCTGGAAATTACTCTAATTAAACAAATTGATCCAACTAAATTCCTGCAAATAAAGAAATGCACACTTCCCGAAACTAACAACGGCATCCACTAGAAATATATTAAAAAAACATACTCCGCCATGATTTTTAAAATCGATCAACATTTGTTCAGCAGCAGTAACTTCATCTTCGCGCATAATATTTGGGTCGGGAGTGAATGGTATTCCTGCACACTTTGCAATTTCAATCATGTATCTGGAATAGTTAAGTTCAAGCTCTTCATGGAAACTCAGCTTTCCCCCCTACGAAATGACTTTAAATCGAATATGCAATCTTTTTTCCTCGTTTCCCTATCTTACAAAAACAGAAAGAAAACACACCGCTCCACTAAAAGTTTTGGAGGTGCTTGTACACTTAGCTTGGCTATCAGCTTTGGTGATACTTTGGCAGGAAATTCTAACTGGTTATTACGCGCTGCTTCAGCAAAGGTTTTGCCATATTTCATAGTTAGCTGGTCATTAATCACCTAAAATCCGAAAACATTTTGAACCGAAAACAATAGCTTAATTTAGATCTAGACCACCAAACTTTTCCTGAGAATATGAGTTCAATAAGGTTAATAAATACCAGGTTTTAGTGCTGGGTGGAACCTAATGAAGACATAAAAGCATTGCTGAGGTAGTCAGAATCAGAATTATCTACTTTGCATTATATATCTTTTAGACGCTTTTTGCATGCTAGGATGAGATGTCAGACTAAGTCCAGTGAAAAATTCTAAGCAACTCTCATTAAAAACATGTTCCAAAAAGGCAATTCCATTACCTTGAATTCACTAACATCTGTTGCCACACGAGGAGCAGCCCAAATAATATTAATTACTGCTTCAGCAATCCCATCATCAAGATGCCTTAAAATTTTTTATTTTGTAATGGATCTGTGAGTGAATATAAAAGGGAGAAAAGTTAGGATACAAGACATACTTGATTTGTTGTATGAGACCAAATCGTGCTAGAATAAGATCACAGTACATTTCCAGCAATTCGTATGCTTCGACAAGAAAATCCTCTCTTATAATATGTTCTACTCTAATACGAGCACGGTCTTCCTTGCGGTCTAAAGTATATACTACTGAAGTAATGATTCATTACAACGCTGCTTACTTTATTTCAAAAACTAATACATAATTAATTATTCTATTTAAAAAGATCACAAGCAATGGTGCATGTCGCGCGTTAGAATCTGAGGTATTAAACTCAAATTCACATCTCGATAAGACCGAGCATATCTTCCAGAGTTCGTGACAATGCCAATTTTTAAGCTCTTACAAAAACAAACTCTTACAATAGTGTAACTAGTGCAACAAATGAATAAAAACATGTAAATCACATAAATCACACTTGTTATACTGAATATGATTTGGAAAATCCGTATAAAAATGAGGAAATAAATTTCATCCTTTGTAGCCTACCATCCAAATCAACTGCCTATTTCCATCAAAGTTTTCACATTAAAAAAAAAAAAAAAATCGAAGTTCGAAACAAACTTGCAATGAAATCAGCAATTTCGGTGCGTGATTTTAGTGCCATCTCACTTTTCTTCTTCTCCAATAATTTTAAACGATTAATTGCCAAACGAAGATTCGTTTTCAGCTTCGAGTACTGTGTCCCCCAGCTGATCGACATATGTTCTCCTGAATTTATTCATAACTCTGTCACAGAGAAAACTCAGCACAAAAAATGTAACCATGCAGTGACCGTATCATGAAATTTCTGAAATTTTTGCTTCTGTGTACAACGCATTTCTTTCCCTTGAAAATGGAATTTGAACAGGACTGAAATCAAAGAGATAAGACACTTCACCGATTACATGTTGAAAACGAATACTTCTAAGTATAATCTTTAAGTCACGTTTTTTTGGACTGTATTACGATTATATATGCGCGTATATTTGTCTGGCTATGTACATCTGCGAGTAATATTTGCTTAATACATAAAGTAAAAACAAAGTAATGGAAATTTGTTTAACTCCATACTAAATAGCTGAACTAATAAAGCAACACGTTGACTCACTCTTACAGATAAAACCGATCGCTGGTCACACTAAGGACATACATGACGAACGCATGACGAACGCTAAACACATAGTGACGGGAAATTAATAATTTTAGCAGCTGATCGTCTCGCTAAATTTGCTTTAATTTGACCTCTTAACCTGGTCATTTCACTTCCCATGTTCATTTCTGCACACCGCCACACTTTGCACATATGAAATACAAATGATACAGAATGATTCAGACAAGGACTCTCTGGCAGTTTTTGTGGTTACAAGAGGCGAGGAAAGTTGCAATGTTGGTTGACCGCTAAGGTGCGATGCACCAACTTACAAGTTAAGCTAGGTAGTGGACAGTCACCAAGACATTCAATACAAGCCGTTCTGTTACGTACTTTAACCAACACGTTCGTTGCGCTTCCCCGTGTTTTATACGGCGAAAAAATGCGGCTCATAAGGGACGAAGATTTTCAGAACGGTGATGTCATTGTGGAGTACTATCATTATTGTGGCATAAGAGTTGTGACCTGCCGCAAACCATCAAGATTTTGATTATTTGTCTTCTGAGCAGTGGAACGAGTTCAAGTGTTGCGGGACACTAGCATTGGCGTGGCATAGCAGTTAAAATCGTGAAATGTTAGAAAAAGAAATAAAGATTTTTGGTTTTCAGAAATGGAGGAACTCGAGCGTCTCTCGCTAGTGTCGAGAGTATGTGTTGAACTCGACAATCACTTTGGTCTGGCAGATAAGGATGTTGCAGAATTTGTCATATATTTGGCCACCGAAAATCCAACTTTTGACAAATTCAAGAAGTCGATTATGAAAGAAGGATTGGCTGATCAGGTATGTATGTATAAGAAATAAGATCAAAGATGTATGAATAATCTCTTGTTCTTTTTCTAGAAGTACACTTCTATTATTTTCAGTTTGATGATTCTCTATTAGCAAATCTCCTTCGCATTATACAACATATGCAGCTGAAAAAGAAAGATGTAGCCAACGTTAAAACTCTTTCCGATGATAAGGAATTGCTTCGCGAAACACTTCCAGCTCTTGCGATGCCAAATGTCGATGCAGATAAACTGATGACTGAACTAGAGGGCTTGCAGACAAAATGGAAGGAAGAAAAAGTTCGTTCTTTTTTCCACTTTATTTCTGAAACTGGAGCTTGTTGATCATGTTATGTTAACATTAAGCTTCTAATAAAGTCATGTAAGAAAGAATAATTTTTTGGAAAATATGTTTTCCAAAAGCTGACAATATATATAATGTTGTCAGGATTAAGTTTGACTTTATGTGTAATTTGAGTTGTCTAACTTTACAGTTTGTTCTTAGGATTTCCGTTTTTTTATTTGCATTTAAATAAACTGGAATTAAGGCAGAAATTGCGGATAAGTCGAATAAAAAGGGAAGACGCAGGCATCGATCAAGAAGTGTGGACAATGAAATAAGAAAGTATCGTTGTTCCTCTGACGATAGGAAGGATAAATATTCGTATGAGCGTAAGCATGGGCGAAGTCCCACTGACAGAGATCGAAGAAAAAGACGAAGTAAAGATTGGAGTGAAAAGCATGATGTGTTAAGGCAGGTTCTTGAGTTCTTAGCTGCAAAATTCGGAAGGTATATAAAAGGGGTGAAATTAAGATTCTTATAAATACTAAAATAATAGATGAAAGTTTAATGTCACTTCCAGTCGATATCGCAAAAGTAGATCACGTTCTTCCGAAAATAGGAGGACGAGAATTAATCTCGCTCCTGTCGTTGGTCACATTTACAGTGGTCGAGTGACAAGCATTCAAAACTTTGGAGCCTTTGTACAGGTTTACTTTACAAATCAGCTGTAATTCATCATTTAGGAATTTTGATGTTTCCCGACTTCGATTTTTGGGTTTTTCATCCTTTCTTAGTGTTATTAAATTATTTACTACTTGACTTTCATTAAATTTATGTATACTGTTAAAATTGCATTTTTGTTCAGTTGGAAGGCTTACGTCAGCGCTTCGAAGGCCTTCTACATATATCGCAGATCAGGCAGGACCGAATAAGTGCTGTCTCTGATGTGTTAAAACGGAACCAAAAGGTCAAGGTTAAGGTAAACAGATGTTCCTTTTATTCTGGCTTATGTAATCAAATTTTTTGTTTCTCTGAAACTAGTAAGCATGTAAGTAAATCATTGTTAAATTATATCTTGATGCTAATGTGTATTGCTTCGTTTTATCCTCTGAAGTTACTTTTCAGGTTATTAAATTCGAGTTGGGAAAGATTGGTTTGTCAATGAAAGAGGTTGACCAGGAAACAGGAGAAGATCTTAATCCACATGAACCTACACCACTTGCAGATGGTGCTCGTGTACTTCGCAATCCCGAAGCACCATGGATAGATCCTTCTACTTCCCGCAATCCAGATGATGTGTCTGTCACTCAGTCGAAAAGGTTTTTGATTAAAACATACAATTCAGATATTCTTAGCAGAATACTTTATTTTAGAATATTTTTTGTTCAAGTGAATTTGATATTTAAATGAATTATAGTGTGGTGAAAAGTCGTGTTCGTTTAACGACTCCTGAAAGATGGGAACTGAGACAAATGCAGGGTGGGGGAGCGATAACTAATGCTGATTTGCCTGATTTTGATGAGGAGCTAGGTGTTCTCAGGAATTATGATGGTATGTTCATTTGTGTAGATTCTGTCTAAAGTTAGATGCTTGTTTCTTTTTTAATTCGTATTGATAATATCAGTTTATTTTTATTCCTGCTGAATATTATGTCTTTAGAGGAAAGTGATGGTGAAGATATCGAAATAGAAATTGTTGAGGAAGAGCCGGAATTCTTACGTGGTTACGGAAAATGTATGTTAGATCTCGAACCAGTAAAAGTTGTGAAGAATCCGGATGGAAGCCTGGCGCAGGCAGCCTTAATGCAGGTCTGTTAATTATAGTTTTTTATTCATCGTTTTATCACTACCTAAAGGAAGTTTTCATCCTCTGCATTTCTAGAGTGCACTTTCAAAAGAACGGCGAGATCAGAAATTGCAAGCACAACGTGAGCAAGAATCTCATTCTCAGCGTAGTGGTCTTTCGTCCACTGCCAGAATCAATGATCCTATGGCGGAATTATCCATACAGTCCTCAATGGATGCCTCGGGATCAAGCCAAAGACAAAAGGTAGTTTAGAAGCTATAATTGCAGCTTTCTAGCTTACAGTCCAACTAACACAATGATTATAATAGCTTTCGCTTAATATTAATTAAGCTTTTATGGGATTATTCATTTTTCCATTCTTTCCAAGTAATTTGAATTAGCTCTGTTTCATTCATCACAACAACAGACATCTCTTCAATTGCTTTCTTATTATTGTGAGTTGTAGTATATCTGCATCATTTGTTTACCGTAATTTGAAGTGTCTCCGTTTTTGAAACTTCCTTGACTTCATTAAAAGTACAATAGTTATATACGTATAGGATTCCATACGTGTGATATTATTAAAAAAAAGAAGTAATTCAGGAAATGCCGGAATGGTTACGACACGTAACTGCCGGTGGAAAAGCGACATACGGGAAACGAACAAATATGTCACTTAAGGAACAGCGCGAATCGCTTCCAATTTTTGGACTGAAAAAGGCGCTTCTGGAAGCAATTGCCGCACAGAATATTTTGATTGTCATTGGTGAAACTGGATCCGGAAAAACGACTCAAATTACTCAGTACATGGTGGAAGTTGGATATGCTGCTCGTGGCCGAATTGGATGTACCCAACCGAGGTGAACGAAAAACTTTTTTTTTGAATTGTTACTTGATACATTAACAACCGAAATGCGAAAAATTAAGCTTGATTCTCTATTGCTGTTGAAATATTTTCGATCGCTACGTACTTCTTACTAATATCGATAGAGTTAGATTTACAAAACATGTTTGCATATCTTGTGACTTTAACATTTTTCTTTTGCTCACTTTTTGTTCAATTAATCACATTGTTATTGAAGACGTGTGGCTGCCATGTCTGTTGCAAAACGCGTTGCCGAAGAAATGGGCTGCAGACTTGGTTCCGAAGTTGGTTACACTATTCGATTTGAGGATTGTACAAGGTTTGTTTTTTTGTTATTTTTTGAGTTCATATAAATGAGATTGTTCAGTAGATGTTTCGAATTGGTGTGAATTTCGAAATAGCAACAGTAATTGAATCATTAAATAAAATTTATAAAAATGATTAGCATCTTGTATATTTTTAGTCAAGACACTGTAGTGAAATACATGACGGATGGTATGTTGCTTCGAGAATGCTTGTTGGATCCGGATTTAACATCTTATTCGGTAATAATGCTGGACGAAGCTCACGAAAGAACTATCCATACTGATGTTTTATTTGGACTACTTAAAGCCGCAGTAAAGAAACGACCGGAACTCAAGCTAATTGTTACCAGGTGTGTTTATGTTTCGTTATTTTCCTCTGACCTCTTGTTTTAACCAGATTTGTTTCAGTACATGTTAAAATTTATTCCAAATGGAGAATTTTGATTTTGTTTTATTTTTTTTAATAAAATTGATTGTACATAAAATAAAAATTGAGAAATCATAATTTGTTTTGTAGTGCCACTTTGGACGCTGTCAAATTCTCCGAGTACTTTTATGAAGCCCCTATATTTACAATACCTGGTAGAACGTTTTCTGTTGAAATTCTTTATACACGTGAACCAGAAACGGATTATTTGGATGCTGCACATATAACTGTCATGCAAATCCATCTTACGGAACCCCCGGGTGATATCCTTGTGTTTCTCACTGGACAAGTATGAATTCACTGCTTCATGATACTTTCAATTCTGCTCACTCAGGATTGTTTCAGAACTTGAATCATTTTTCAGTTCTATTTTTATATGATGTAGTGGAAAGTGATTTTTTTATCTGATCAATTTATATTTGTGATTGTAATTTTTAGGAAGAAATTGATACTTCTTGCGAGGTTTTATACGAGAGGATGAAAAGTCTTGGTCCAGATGTGCCTGAACTGATAATTTTACCCGTATATGGTGCACTGCCGAGCGAAATGCAGACACGAATATTTGAACCTGCACCACCGGGCAGTCGAAAAGTGAAAATTCCGTGTTATTTTGCTTCTAGTTGTTGTATTATAATGGGACAAAAATATCTTCTGAAATAATTTAAACATTGGATCGATATTTCAGGTGGTAATTGCAACCAATATTGCTGAAACTTCATTGACAATTGATGGGATCTATTATGTGGTTGATCCAGGTTTTGTAAAACAAAAAATATATAATCCAAAAAGTGGCATGGATTCACTGGTGGTTACACCAATTTCTCAAGCACAAGCTAAACAGAGAGCGGGTCGAGCAGGTCGTACGGGTCCTGGAAAATGCTATAGACTTTATACTGAAAGAGCTTATAGGTATTTTTTATTTCATTGATTTTATTATCTCAAATAATTTATTCCTTGTGAACTTTTATTTTGAACGATTCTCTCGAACAACCTCGATTTACAATAGTCTTTAAATCATGACTAACTTTTTAATATTGTCGTTACAGAGATGAAATGTTGCCGACACCTGTGCCTGAAATACAGAGAACAAACCTTGCATCAACACTGCTGCAGCTAAAAGCTATGGGAATTAACAATTTAATTGATTTTGATTTTATGGATGCACCGCCAGTGGAAGCTATGATTACAGCCTTGACGCAGTTGCACACTTTAAGTGCTCTTGACAATGATGGATTGTTGACTAGACTTGGCAGAAGGGTATGTCTCATTATGATATAATTAGCCTCTTAGATGTTCATTTCTAAAGTCTAACGAATTTTTGCACTATTTGTTGCATATAGAGAGTTAGATTTTGTTGTAGTGATGATAGGAAAGCTTATGAAAAATTTAAAATTGATTTATCTGATCAGTTTTGCACTAATTTGGGGTTGGATAACATTTTGATTATTCAATGAACTATTATTTTGTTTTGTGCTATTATCTTGATCTTTTTTCTGAATTTATCAGAATTATTTCGCATGTAGATGGCTGAATTTCCACTGGAACCTAGTTTGTCAAAGCTGTTGATCATGTCGGTGGATTTATGTTGTTCGGATGAAGTGCTCACTATTGTTTCAATGTTGTCAGTGCAGAATGTTTTCTACAGACCAAAAGTGGTTTTCTTTCTTCTCACAAAACATGTTTTAATTTACTTTCAGTTTGAAAAGATCAAATTTAAAATTAAAAAAATTTTTGTCTTATCTTGAAGGACAAACAAGAAATAGCAGACCAGAAGAAAGCGAAATTTCATCAACCCGAAGGTGATCACTTAACGCTATTAGCTGTTTACAATTCTTGGAAACATCATCATTTTTCTCAGCCATGGTGCTACGAAAACTTCATCCAAATCCGAACTTTAAAAAGAGCACAGGTATGTTTTAAATGCAATACGTTTTTGTCTTAGAATTTTTTTAATTTCAAGAGGAAAGTATCCTAATTAATTTTTTTTTTTTTTTTTTTTTCTGTAGGATATTCGAAAACAATTGCTTAGTATCATGGACAGACATAAACTGAACACAATAAGTTGTGGTCGAGATGTGCAACGCATACAGAAAGCTATATGCTCAGGGTTTTTTCGAAATGCAGCCAAGCGAGATCCGCAGGTATATTCTTTTTTAGTCAATTTAGCTCATATCTAACTAAAAAAAAAAATTTTTTTTTGTTTTCTCGGATATCGTTGTTAAAGAGGCAGAGCTATACTATGAGACGATGTTTTCAATATTCGAAATTGTTTTCACTTTCAAGAGAATGCAGTTTCTCCTTTTTTCTTTTCTCTGCATTTATTGTTTTTGTTTTTTAGGAAGGATATAGAACAATCGTGGACGGTCAAAATGTTTATATTCATCCTTCTAGTGCTTTGTTTCAAAACCAACCAGAGTGGGTTGTTTATCATGAGCTTGTGATGACAACAAAAGAATACATGCGTGAGGTTTGTAAATCTTACTGTTAAGATGATTTTGGATAACTTTTTTTGGGTTACGGCATATACTAGCATACTAAAACAGTTTGAATTTATTGTCTGGCATCAAATTTACATTTATTTGATGAAGGAAGTACTTCAAATATAATGTTTTTAGTACCAGTTAATAATAACAGTAGTTCAGCTGCTAGTTTTTGTAGGTAACTGCTATCGAACCGAAATGGTTAGTAGAATTCGCACCGTCTTTCTTCAAAATGGGCGATAACACAAAATTATCTGCATTTAAAAAGAACCAGACGATTAATCCTTTGTATAATAAGTATGAAGACCCGAATGCTTGGCGTATCACACGACTGAAAAAGAAGATCTACAATCCAAACAGATAATTGATGCTACTTAGATTTACAGTGGTTTTCTTTCACAGTGATTTTGTAGAAAAATAGTTGATGATTATATAAATTTTGAATTTCATTCCTCGCTTTTTTATTAAGTCACTAATTTGTTTTTGAGCTATTAGCTATGATTTGTACTTTTTATTGACCACTTTGTCCTCTCTTTTTCTTTTTTTGTTTATAAGTAGTTTAGTAAGAGGTATATGAAGTGCAAGAATAAACTAATATCATTTATTCGTGCTGTAAACAGCGATATGCCACGATATGAAGCCGGCGTTTATTAGAACTCCATGGTTCTTGTGAATTAAATTCTACTTTGCTAATTCACTAGTAATTGGTTACGCTTGCTCGATCTATCCATTTTTTTTTAACGAACAGTCATTATCCAAGTAATGACATCGTTGAGATAAAATAGCAAGTTATTACTTTGGTGAAATGCTATAATCACTTATAACACAGAACAGTAACAGCAATTCGCTTCAATGATCAGTGATCGAGAAGCTGAAATGAATGGCGGTATGTTTGTTTTCAATGTAAGAGAAGACTACGAGCGAGACAGCACATATAATTTATGCAAAATTTAAGTGTTATTTCTGCAACCCTATGAACAATTCTAATTTATGATCGTTATTTGTAGGGTGGTTAAAGTACTTGTCGGGGTGGTGTTTTGCTTAATTGAGCAGTTTTCCGCGACTTCACTGGTTATATGAAAATACCAGTTGTCCCAACGATCCGAGTTTATTTTTTATGCGTATTGTTATCTTTTGGATTCTTCCTGAAAAACAAATTTCAACCATTACCGTTGGGAAAATTCAACAAAAGATCATGACGAAGTCACTTCCATTCCATACTTTCATTCACTCTTAATGATAATTTCACGGCACATGTTATTAGAAATTCCTGCATTTGTTAATAGAAGAGAGCTTATGTGCCTACCCCCCATTGTATGTTAATTTTTCATTTTTGTCTCTGGCAACTGTCTTCCCAATAGTCATAATAGCGATCGACGATCAAGCATTTTTAAGAATTGTGGGAGTATAAATGGGTGAATTCTCAAAACCTGATTTTCCAAATAAACTAGAACTTCGTGTGTTTGAAATGTAGATCAGAAATTTAAAGATTTTAGAATACTCCATCCACTAGCTAGTGAGACCTATATTTCTTATAAAATTACGAAGACATTAAATATTTTCGTTTTGAATATGGATGAATTTAAGTGGATAGTTGAGAAATCGTTCGCATAATTAAAAGAAATTAATTAAGCAGGACTGTCTGAAAATCTTGCTGTACTTTACTATGGTAAGCAACAATAAAGTTAATGGGAAGAATAGCAAGCAAAATTCTTTTGTTGCAAATTTATCTTATCACAAACAAAATTCTGGCACACTTCCAGAATTTTGTTTGTGATATGCTAAACTTGTATTTGAAAGATGTGTTAGACGCAATTTGTTTATTTATGCCTTTTATATCAGTGACGACAAAGCGTAACCACAGAGCGATCGGGCCAAAAGTCAATTTTCATGTCGTAAAGAATATGCATATTTTTTGAAGAGTTTATGAATTTGAAATTATCTCTTTTGCTGGCTTACAGAGACAGGACCACAACTACTTCTGGCTATTAGCATGAGGCCTGGATTTTTAATTTTTCAGAGCAAATCAATAATCTTTCCATTTATTCATTCTGTTGCAGATATATGTAATCAGATTACGAAGTTCTACTACTAACTGAAACTTTGCTACACCTGCTTACCTTTCTCCTTCTATTCACCTGGCTGCTTTGATAAAGGTAGCAAGGTGGAATTCGCTCTTTCCTTCACAGAGAAGGATTCACTCTATCTTTTATAATGTAAGCCACTAGATGCAACAAATGACCGATAAGGTTATAAATCTAGGAATTGCTTTATAACAAGGCACTAAATGCCCATCACCTGCAAATCTAACATTTTATGATAACGACAAAAACACCTCCCGCTCTACTTAAACTCCTTTATCAAAAAAGGCAAAAACCTTGTGATACCTCTCAAACTCGATGTATCGATTAACTACTAGTAATCATACTTCGAGTAGGACTGTATAAGCAAAATGAGCTCTTCTCCGTACTTCAGTTCTGCAATAATTTTTAGAAATTATTGCGATGACCAGGATTTTGTTATATATCAATGATGAAGATAATAAAAATGATATATAACCTGTCTGAAGCAGTGCTTTAAAACAAATAAGTCTCATTTTTAAAACAAGACTTTTTCATAATTTCCTCAAATGATTTTTTTTTTTTTTTTTCGATATCTATATCTAGATCTGCTTTGAACTTTCAGTGAGAGAGAGAGAGAAAAAAAATTCTCGTGGATGTTTATTTCACAGCGATATAAACACTTTCATTTCTTTTGTAGATTCACGGAAGGAGATGCTGTATGGTTGAGTTGGTGTCATTTATTATGAAGCATTACAGCAAGTTTCGGTGAGTTTTGCATGATTTATTCTCTATAAATTATTTTACAAACTTCATTCATTTGCTTACCAATTTTAAAATAGAAAATTCAATTTAACAAAAAAATTTTGAAAGTCCATTTCAACTTATTTCATTCTTTATAAATAAATTTGCTCACATCATTATTCTCATATTGTTATTATAACTTGTTGGCCGTGCACCTCTTATATAGTAAAACATCAATGTTTTGAAAATAATTCCTGATGTTGATATATTAAAGAACTCTAAAGTACAACTTTGTAAATTAAAAAGGAAAAAAAAAGTGATATATTCTTAATGGTTAAGTTTGTAGAAGTTCACTAACTTCGCTACATTATTTTGCTCTATACCAGATAGATCTATTTTTTTCTAGAAGTAGAATGTATTAATATAAGAAGTAGAGTGAAGTAAATTAAATTATGAAATAAGGCTAATTCTAAATAATTCATTTCCCATTACTTTTCATTTTATTCCTGAATTAATGACTAAATACCGAAATTCTGTTTTATCTATCTTCAAAATCACATCATATCTGTCATACATCATAGCACCACACCCGTAGAGCAGATTCTTCTAGATAACATTATCACAATTTGATCCTTTACTTTCTCACTGATTTTATCTTATGATTTGAGATTTGCAATATTCCAAAATAAAAAGCATTTCTGTAATATTAACTCTATTCCTATAAATCAAATTTCATATATATTGGAAAAATTATTTTTCTAGTGCATAACTATTCTACATTTCAATATGCTTGATATATATGATATAACAATTTTTTTTTTGTGGTTCGGAAACTTAGGCGACAGAAATGTTATGTAGCAGTTATCATGTTAGTCAGATATTATTCTTCTATTACTTTTATGTGCGCTAGTATATTCTCTTTCAAATTACTCATTTTGTGATTTTAAGCAAAGTTTTTCCAAGTAATTAATTTTTACTTGATTTAATTGATCATCACTTATAGATTGTTGAAACGAACAATTTGGAGTCGCACCTGGCTCATAAATATTTTTTGTGTGGTCATAATTTTATGTGCATCGGTCTTATTAGTGCACACATATACGAACTTTTTGTTTAATGCTAAGAAAGGTTATTGATTTCATATTTCAAAAAATAATATACTCAAACAATCACATTGAAATCGTCTTTTTCTCCAAAACACAAGACTTTAGTGGAATATGTTTGTCAGGAATTTTAAATTCATAAAGTCATGAAAGTACTTTTTAAAATTTAAAGTTCAAATTACGCGATTTTGATTTAGCGGCTATCATTATGAATTTTTTTGACTCAAAAAAAAGTTCATATGAAAAATATTCAAGATTTACAACTAGTTATTTATTGTAATTTTAGCGCATGAAGTAACCGAAGCAATATTTGCGCCATACAATTTTACGGATGCTAGGATACTATTGAGTCCTAGTTTCCAGCAGTGTCCCAATGTATCTGTTTTTTATATTATTCGTACTCATCCAGGAAATATAAGATGGAGGAGTATTATTCGCTCAACATGGGCTGGATCTCTGAAACATTCCTTAGTTAGTTAGTATGATTTATGCAGCTTTCAATATTTGGCACACACTGCTGTTCTGTAGTATTGAATTGCTGTAAGCACATACTTTTCAGATATTTGTATTGGGTGTTGAGAAATTAGGTGGAATAAATGAATTAGTAGAGCTGGAAGCTAAAAAATACGACGATCTGATCGTTTTTGATATGATCGACACTTACAATAACATGACGCTGAAATCATTAAACATTTTAAGTTGGATTGTTCGAAATTGTCAAGCGCCTCGATTTTTTATGCAGGTAAAGTTTATGGAGCTTCTTCTTACGTTTTAAATTGTTTGATGAAGCCGCCAAAGTTCTGGCCAGTTTTAGCAATTTCAAATGCGATAACATGTTGCTCGGCTCTCAGTGAATTAAAACAAACCTATTCGTTATTATGTTAATAACTCTGTGGTAAACAGGTTTTCAATTAAAGTCTGGCCAGTATTGCAGACAAATATATATTTCCATTTCACTTTAGATTTCACGATCGGTTAAATTTGGGTTCATTTGATTCAGTTGTTGTGACATAATTCGGCTGTCTGTGACATCAAACTCGTCGCTGAAATGAAAAAGATGTATTTAGGGCGATCCAGACATAGTAGCGTTTCCGGATGAAATCGCTTCATACACTTCGAAATTGGATGCCAATTTGATAGCCGTATATGGAAAATGTTGGAAGGGTGCAAAAGCACACCGCGAAGATAGTAGTAAATGGTGTATTTTTGACGGTTTAGCTGAATTGTCTAATTTATTGTTTTGCTATTTAAAAGTGATTCTCAAATAATATTGAATCAGAAAATTTGCTTAATGTGAAGGGAGCCTGAATCGGACTTAGCAATGTGCTGTTGCAATGATCCGGTTATAAGCATTTATTTGAAAGAAGCTGGACTTTTTTCCCTGCATAATTGTTAAATATTTGCGAATTCAGGGCTTTGAACTCATTGATTTACCCATCAGTAACCTATCCGACTTATTTGGCTGGTGGTGCATGGTTATTTTCTCATTCAACCGCGAACCGTCTCCTGATGGCTCTCGAAAAGCCTCTAACCTATGTTCACATCGATGACATGTTGATTTCGGGAATATTCGCAGAACTTATGGATGTACGCCGAGTTTGTCTGAAAACTGTTGGGTACCTGTATGAATTTTCACTGAAACAGTGTCGTGATGATCCTATTCTTGCTGTTTTGCAACTCGAAGATCACGAAATTTTAAACACAATCCTAGACTATCGAAAAACTTCAATAGAATGTTATGCTGGGCGCTCTTCATACAAATGAACTAACTCAAAACTGCATACTTTTAAGTCCAATTATTTATGAATATTGGTAAGGTGGAAAGTTTTACATTCCACTTGTAATGATTCTGTTTAAAATGCATCTCAATTAATTAATCTTTTCAATTCAGGGTATCATTAAGTATTATTCTCAGTCAGCCTTATTCTCCAAATGATTCTGTGATCTGCTATTATAGAAATGAAAAAATTAATGAAATTATATGAAATTAAATTATTAAATGTAACTCTGTTCTTAAATTCATCAACTGTCTAATTATTATTTGTCATTACGTTCTTATTCTAAAGATTGCTTTCCATTGCCAACTTCAACTCGTAATAATAACAATAATTATGAGTGTTTAAAATTACTGTCAATTTATTTATTCAATTGAAATAAGGTGAGCCATAAAATTAACGACAACGAATAACGAAGCAAAGTTTTTGAAGTGGTTAGCTAACATTCCCTTAAAAGTCAAGCGAATTTCTTTTTTTGTAATTTAATTGTTTTAGATTTAAATATTTCATAAAATTGAAAATATCTCTGCTATCTCAAAACCTGCACAACTTATAGATAAGCCTCGTTTTTTTTTTTTTTTTTTTTTTTTTTTTTTTTAAAAAAAAAGCTCTGTGGTGTTCGATTTTTGATAGCTGTGCTTTAAGGCAAATTTAAAACAAGTCTACCAAGGCAAATTCTGCGATAGCTTAATATGTGGTATAAACGTGCCGTTTTAACGAATAAAAACTAAACAACAAGTCTTGCCAATATGTGCACTCCCGAAATCGAGAGAAGAAAAAACGTTAAAATTTGAAAACAGAGAGATAGTGCGAGAAAATAAGACAATGTCCAACTTTTGTTTGCTCACGCGTATTTAGCATATTTGTCTAAGTCCTAAAACAGAATCGGTGTTTGAAGGAAACGAAGAAAACAGGTTATTATAAGCAAGAAATTTATATTTTTCATTTACATAAATTAAATTGATTGCATTGATGCTTTATTCAATTCTTTTTTTGTTGTTTTATTTCTCTTTGTTGATCAAAAATATTTTTTTGCAGATGTGCAGTGGAACTTCTTTGCTAATCTCAGAAATAAATGAATTGATGAATGCAGTAGATGTTGTCTTTCGAGTTTTTAAAGTTTTTCAAGTGCATGGTGCATTGAAAATGTTCAGATTCTTGAGTTCATGCCTTATTTTAATTAAATGAAATTAATTTAAAATGGGTTTTGTTTCAAAAAAGGTGTTTCAATTGTTAAATACTTTAATTGAGACATTCTATCTTTGACCTCAGTAATTCTTCACTTCCATTATTTATTGTCTCATATCAATTTAATTGCTTTCTTACTGTGCTTTAATTAGGGAAGTTAATGCGATTGGTTTGCAAAAGAAATATGTTTCTGTAATGAGTAGTTATTTTGAGAAGTACATTCAAATATATTCTCATGGAATGTTTTAGAAGACGGCGATGGAGATAATATGATGCTGTCTGTGATAATGGTAAGACTGAAAACCACAATAATGCCAATCGCTTTTTTAAAAGAAGTATTGTCTGTTGCACCTGTATATACAGTGTATTATACCGCCTTGAATACTATTTTCACCTGTTATTACTAACAACACTTTACCTGAACATGCATACTACCCCTTATATCACCGCAGTATGTTATATGCAGACAATTGACCTTCGTATATGCTAACCCAAATTTCAAAATAACTGCAAGATATGATTTTATGTAAATTTTAAATAAACTAATCTTTATTTTCTGATAATATTAAGTGTCAAAAAATGCACCAGAAGAAATCATTTAGTTAGTATATAGCTTAGAAAGGCCTAAAGATTTATAATGACTAACAACGACAATCTCAGTTTCACAATACATTGAGCATTGAGTTTATGCTGTGCCAAAACAAATTTAAATATCAAAGCTCAAATGAGCAAAATTCCTGGACAGTATTTGCGCAATTAATAGACGAAATAAATTAAATGGAATATTGAAGTAGGAAATTTACACCTAATCAAGAAGCACCTGATAGATAATCGACTTCTTCACCTATTTTTCAACACTGTCAAAAAAACCAAATGGATATGTGACAAATCATCTTTCGTGGCACTATGACCATTTCATTAAAAAATTTTACATTTATTTAAATGAAAAAAAGCGGAATTTTGTGAAATTTCACATCATTATTGTGAAGGGTTCACGGAGTTAGGTATTGTCCAAGACAAATGCTTGACGCATATTTTAAATAACAAAACTAACTTGAAAAAAATAGCGACATTTCGGAGGATTAACAAAGAATAATTAAAAAACTTGTCCTTTAGAAATAATTAGCATTTGTCTGATTGACGAAGATGGTGTGTTTAAGTTTTTCTTGCTTGTAGAACTGAAGATAGAGATTCACATATACACTGTCGCATGTTAACATATCTTACTTGCTGTCGCATAACTACTAACTTTGGTACATAACCATGTTAAATTTTATTAATGTTATAAATTTGATTTGAATTTATTTGGCATTTTACAAAATGCTTGAATTCATAAAAATTGCCTCCAACCAGATTTATAATCACTATGTTAAATTACATTTGCCGCTTTTCAATAAAATCACAAGCAATAAAAAATGAGCTTGGAGCTAAAGAATTGATTCAAATATTTTCATTAATCACCATCATTTAAAAATTCATCTTAGAAAACTGAGTGTGGAAGTGCATAAAAAACGCGAACGAACTTAAAAATGATAACAAATAAATTGATCAAGGAAACTGATGAAATGATAAAAGTGAAGGCTGATGAGTCATGGATAAACGAGTTCAGGATTTGAGAAACTCATTTAAACACACTATTTTATTAATGATGCTGTCCATTGCTTCAATTTCAACCAAAAAAGCCTGCTACAATTCAATTATACATTAGTTTGGTTACGCTTCCGACCGATTTTTCATTCTTCCCTCCTTACCAATATGAAAACAACCACTCTGCTTTTTTTCAAACGAATAGGAAGCTTTTTCTTCATTAAATTTCCAAAAATTTCTTTACTGAAAAATTCCATGACATTGGAGAGTAGTATTCAAAGCTTCCTTAAACCTCAACACTTCTTGGCCAGAGATTGAATTTCAACAAAAACATTCAGTTTTAATCACAACTTTATCATTTCCCACAAGATTTCAGTATTTTTTTGTTTTTCGCTGACCCAACTTACTAATATTTGAAGTGATCTTTAGCAGACAGAGTTCAAATTTTTATTGTCACCACAGTCACCATTATCGCTTCATCGAGGTGATTCCTCGGCCATGTAACGAATGTAGCCATTCGTACAAATCGAAGTTCACATCACTAAAACCATTTTTTGAGCATCAACAGATCTTGTTTATTTTTATTTTCTTAAAATTATTTCCTCACTTCTCTTTCATTTTATCTCTTATGCACTGTTTATGCTCGCTTTTATCATAAGCGTAAAGATAAATTTTATTTCACATTTGCTGTTAACTAAAATTGCTTCAACTGAATATTTCATCGACGATCAAAGCTACAAAATTTGGATTCGGCTTAACACTTTATAATGCTTCCTATTTCCTTTCTTCACCAATGCACCTACTAATATCTTCCGGAAATAAACAGCACAGCTCATGTGAGACCAAATATGTTCGAAAATTGAATCCGGAAAGTGCCAATAATTAATTTGGAGTTCCGGTAGTACTCATACAAGTGAACTTTATGCCATAATTACAAGAACAAAAAATAGGAATGGTTAACTGCCGGAATAATATGAATTTTAGATAGGAAAAAATGTGGTGAGTAAAAGGAATAATTCAGGATTGTTGCCGTCTGTGCACTTTTCGTCTTCAGTTTATTATCGACTTTAGTCCAGAACTTATCAGCTTGGCACTACCTTCAATCCTCTAACCATCCCTCCATTCTCCTACCTTCTCTTTTCTCGATAACGTTCAAGCTCCTCATCTAATTCTCTCTAATTCCTCAGTCCCGCTATAAAAATTTCTTCCCCTCACTTCTCCACTACTGCAAAGTCTCTCCAGTTTTTTGATTTTCTGATATCTAAAATATTCATGTGTGTATGTATGTATGTATGTACATGTATGTGTGTGTATGTGTATCTATGCATATGTATGTACACGTATGTATGTGCATGTGTGTATGTGTGTGTGTGTGTGTGTGTATGTATGTATGTATGTACATGTATGTGTGTGTATGTGTATCTATGCATATGTATGTACACGTATGTATGTGCATGTGTGTATGTGTGTGTGTGTGTGTGTGTGTGTGTGTGTGTGTGTGTGTGTGTGTGTGTGTGTGTGTGTGTGTGTGTGTGTGTGTGTGTGTGTGTGTGTGTGTGTGTGTGTGTGTGTGTGTGTGTGTGTGTGTGTGTGTGTGTGTGTGTGTGTGTGTATTTGCTTCTTCGCTTTGTTTATTTGTATGAATTTGTAGAAGCCCTCCTTTCGTTTTCTTCCCCGTACGATGTATTATTACTCCATTGTCTAATGCTACAGTTATGGTTTGTGTCAACCTTACCTGTCAGAGGTGGGAGTATTTATGAGAGAGAGAGAAGCTAGTGACAGTGACTTTTTCTATGATAAGTCAGAGAGATCGAACTATTTTCATATGGCTTGAATGTCACTGTCCTAGAATCGAACTGACAAAAAATTTCCTGCACAGTTGATAGCACCAAAGCAGAGAGCTGGGCTTGCCATCATTTTGGCCTTCCTTGGAAAAGTTTCGAGGCTTGTCCTTCTGTCTCCCTCAGTCTCGAAATGTCGTGCTAGCAAGAGGGGTAGTGGATGTGTCACCAGGCACTGTCAAATTCCGCCCTCACTGAGACTATCTAATCCATCTGACTGCTATGCTTCTTTACTTATTCTCGAGAGACGGCAGCAATACATTTGATCTCTAATGGCATGCATTTGTGACCTTACTGTTTTATTACAGGTGATGCTTTGACGTAATTCTAATTTATATGATTGGCGTCATTCTCTCACTCTTCTAATTCATTTACGTGTATATTATTGCGCTATTTTTTCGCTGTTTTTTAATTTCATATTTATCACGTGCTTTATGTAGGACTCGAGAAAAAAAAGAAGCATACGATAGGCATTATTATTCCCCTTCAATCATCACGCTTTCACCTCCACTCATTACTCATATCATCATTTTCCGAACGACAATGGTTGGTTTCCTCAAGTTTTAAATTTGATTTTAAAAAAAAGATGAAAATGACACGTTTAGGAAAGTCGCCAAATTGGTGTTTATTCTTTCTTCACAGTTACTGTAAGATTTGTGAAAAGTTCAAGGTGCATGAAGTTGCCTATCCATCCACTGCTCCGTGTTGTTGGATTATTTCAAGCTTACCAGCATCTTGTTTGCTTACCATTTATTATTTCACACTACGCCAAGTTCTTTCTGTCGTGAGATTAAATACATTTGTAAAAAGTTTATAACGCAAAGAAGAATTGCTTCGGAAGTCTTTTAAATCAATTCGTAAGATAAGAAGTTTCTTAAGAAATAGTTGTTTTTGTGAGTACTTTTCCGGTTGTTCACTTTTCCTATCACTGTAAGTAGAATTGATGGCATCGTGTTTCAGGGAAATGAGTCATCCTTACCAATGGAAATGTGCAGCAATTGTAAGCCTTTCTTCGGTCATTAACTTAAATAATTTTTGTGATCCTTGAAACTTTAAATATTTACTAAATATATATAAACTTTAAATAAGTACATATTTGATACAATGCTAAAGTTAATAGTTTATTTCTTCCCGTTTGCGGACCGTTCATCTCTATTCATTAGTTAAAAAAAAAAATAGAAGCTGAATTAAAGTGGCCTAATTTGTTGCCTAATAGCCATGCTTCACTAGTATGGTTTCCAATATCTTAATCATCCATACCCTTTGAATGTCGTACATGAATTTTCTGATCTTGGTAAAGGTTTTGAAAACTGTAATACCAAATTATTTTTTCCAGTTCACTGAAAATCGACTATCCGTACCATTTAATTTTTGTACCATTTAATTTTGAACTGCCCAATTTACTATGTCATATATTTTAAGCTACCCATTAATAACTCCCTCTTTTCCCTTTGCATTGCTACGAGTTGTATGGATTGAATTAAAAAAAAAAAAAAAAAAAAAAAACATTCTTTGAGAATTAAATCAAATTTTGATTACGCAAGCAGTTTTTCGTAACCTTAATTGCACTTGCAGTTGATGCATATGAGTTGCGGCGCTTAGCACGACGCTTCAAAAAATTAGATTTGGATGGTTCGGGAAGTTTGAGTGTTGACGAATTTATGTCATTACCAGAACTTCAACAAAATCCATTGGTCCAAAGAGTTATTGATATATTCGATGAAGATGGTGATGGGGAAGTCGATTTCAGAGGTTTACGTTTGGAATTGTTGAATTTGTAAAGTTCCATTATTTAGTTATCCTTTATCTAATTTTTTTTTTTTTTTTGTTAAAATATGAATATAACAGTACATTGTTTTCAGAATTCATTCAGGGAATATCACAATTTAGTGTCAAAGGAGACAAAACAGTAAAGCTCAAGTGTAAGTTTTGTTATACTATATAATTTCAATTTCTTATGAAATATCAAGTGCTGAAATCTCTCTGTTGATATATTCTTAATCGTATATAATCATGATAACTTTTATCATACGGCATGATTGTTTTTCAGACTGACTGTCATATTCAATGCAAATTTCCAATATGAGGTTTTCTTGATGGCTGAAAAGGAATTAATAGAAAATAACGAACTTTCTTACTCTGTCACAGAAGCCAAAATTTTAAGAATCGATTAAAAGGAATAGATATTCTTAACAGTTTGACCATGATTGAAGGTGAAACTCCTATAAAAATTAGTATTTACATTAAAAACATTTTGTTCTCTATGCAATGGGATGCAAAAGCGAACTTGGTATTCAGAAGAGTTTTTATAGGTAGCAGTAAATGAGTACTACTGAAGCAAAATCAAATACTATAGCTGGAATGATAGGCTGGGAAGAAGACAGTAATAAGAAATCCAAAAGATAATTGGAACATTCTTTTAATTTTTTTAATTTTTTATAATTATTCCCAACATCCTAATACGAAGTTATGTTTATTTGCAGTTGCATTTCGTATATATGATATGGATCGGGATGGATATATCTCGAATGGAGAGCTTTTTCAGGTAAGTTCTGTTATTAGCATTTAATTTAGTTTAGCAATATGATTTTTCAAATATCTTGTAAATTAAAAAAAAAATGCCACATCCATGTTCAATGAGTTTCCCATATGAGCCTCTTCCTTTCTTTCTTTCCTCTTTTAACAGTAACTAATTCTTCCAAATCCCCTCTTTATCTTATATGAGTACTTTATTTACTTTCTCCCGTCCTTTATTTTTTTTTTAAATACAAACCGCAATGTGCCAGTTACTAATTAAAATATGAAGTAGTAATTGGTATATTCTAGAAGATTACTGACATAAGCATATAATTTTGCATTGCCATAAAAAGGGAAAGATATCTGAGATTTTTGTTTATCGCTGTGAAGAGAGACATTATTCATAATCTTAAGATGTGATCAATTTAATTGGTCAACAGGAAGGATGGTGTTATCTTATATTTTCAATCGTTATCTTCTTAAATAATAAACTAATTTAAATTTTAGGTTTTAAAAATGATGGTGGGAAACAATTTAAAAGATAACCAACTACAACAAATAGTTGACAAAACAATACTATTTCATGATAAAGATGGCGATGGTAAAATATCGTTCGATGAGTTCTGCGATGTAATTTTCTAATTTATACATTAATTCCTTGTAATTTTGATTTTTTACCCTGATTGCTTTTAAAAACTCACCTCCTTTGCTTGACATTTACCTACCATTTTCACCATATCGTGATTCTCAGTTCAGCTTAGGTTCACCATTCGGGCCAAATAAATGTTGAGGATATGTTTTTTAGGTTGTGGAGCATACCGAAGTTCACAAGAAAATGGTACTAGAAAATATTTGATTCTACTTATACTGCCTGTTCAGCAGCAATAGTGCTTCTATTCTGTTGTTGTCAAAAGAAAACAGATCTCTCAAATGTGGCAAATCGTTTGTTTACTTCTCTTTTCTTGTTTGCTATAGTCGATTTTATTGTGGTTTATCTATGAATGAAGCGCTATTATGGATGGGCTGAGTAATATGCTAAAAGAGAAAAAAAAGCCTTATCCCCAGGAAGGTTTAAAACTAAAACTTTTTGGACAATAATTTGAAATGTTCACATCTTTTGTGATTTATATTTCAATTTCAAACAGTCCTTCGTGAATTAGGTTTTTTTTTCGCTCCAAGTTTGTTGGTTACATTAAAATTTTTACCATGTCCTCATTACCGCTGTCGGTACACTTGCATAATGATTCTTATTTTGATGATACTCGGATTGATATGTGAAAAACTTTGTTCCATTATAAATTGGGCGCTAATCAAAGTGCTAATCAAAAAAAAAAAAAAAAAAACAAGAAAAAAAATTTGAATGAAGAATCTTAAGAGATTTTTCATGTTACATCGGTGATGTAGATTTCTGATTTGTAAATTTTGTGCTTACACGAATTTGGTCATTTTTTTCAAGCGGAATACTGAGATATCTTATAAAATGCTCCTAGCTTAGCTACGATTTCAGTTTATCAGTAAGCTTCAGAAAATTTGATCCATAGTGCTAAATACTGCGGAAGTTTATTATTTCATTCTACGGGCCATTTGATCCGAAAGGTGCCAAAATGTTATTTTTGTTACTGTTTCTTTTTTCTTCGTAGTGAATGCTTTCATGACATTCACTCATGTTTAATTCATGATTGTTTAGCAGATTGTATTAGTCTTTTATTAATTAGGAAGTTTTTCTTTCTCGTTTCTGCACTTGATCAAACGTTTTTTGGAATTTTTTAAGTTATTTGTCACTGTGCAATGGGAGCTATTTTTCCTCTCAAGCAGTGTGGAAAAATCAATCATGAAGTGAGCTTATGTTCTTCGTAAAACTGTTGAAAATTATTAAACTGTTTCTGCACGATATGGATATGCCCGAAATGATTGTGTCTCAAATTTTTGAAATATACTGTATAAATTGCATAAAGTTCGAAATCTAATTTGAAATATTCTGCGAACTGAATATAAGATAAACGAAGTCAATGGAATCATCTACCGTGCACTTCTTGTCGAAATTGTTTCGCATCGAGATTATGAAAATGTTATCGAATTTAATTAAGTGTTTGAATTCAGAATTGATTAGAGGAATCAGATGGGGCAGACAGCTTATCGAAATAAGAGGACATGGAGAGTAGAGCGGAAAAAAGAGAAGTAATGTTGGTGATGAGTATTTTTAAAATAGGATGAGCGGATGCTGTTTGAAGAGGAGAAAAGGTCTTACTTTCGAATTGCTCAGGAGTTTTTTTTTAAATCATTTCCAGTTTCATTTTGGTTTTTTTCACTGAGCTTAATATTACTTGTAGATTTGCTTTCCCACCAATTAATTGCAAATGTATGGTTGCTAATGAAAGCGTATGTGCTACGGTTGTATGCTGTTTACTATACAACGCAATCAGTTCGGACAAAAGTTCGATATAACAGAGCTAAAAATCAACAGATGACATCTTCAACGACTGTGATAGTAAGGAATGATGGGAGAAAATTCGCAGTATGTGATAGCTTCGTAGAATTTATGGTCCGAAAGCATCAGGAGGAGTTGCAACGATTGTCTGCGCTTATTAGAGAAGAAGCAATTCAGCGACACAACAGTTATTTGCAGGTAATTATTTAAAAAACCAACCTATGTAAGTTCGTAGGTTGTAAGCGAAATGTAACTGGCGATAAGACGGTTATAGAATTTTCTGCTCTATGCTCATTGTCATGAGTTACGATTACTTTAACTCTTGTGCACATTTTTTTTTCAGACCCTCCAGTATCGGAATAGTATCGTTGTGGGTTTACGTCGAGTCTTGGCACGTAATCGCGGCCAGTATCTTGTGCCCGTAGGTTCAACTGCTTCAGGACTTGCTAGTGGTATATCGGATATTGATTTGGTTTATCTATCAACGACCGATGAAAAACAACGCGAAACACTATTGCGGTTACTTTCTAAGGAAAATTATAGGAGGTATGCGGCTTAAAAAAGTTTTTCAACTCAAAATTTGTTGTTTGAAATATACTTTTACAGACTATCCTGTACTATTCTGCAATAATACTGAACGATGAATATTAAAAGTTTGCAAGGTCACTAAGACTTGATATCTTTCACTGTGATAAATAATTTAAACATATATCTGAACAAGTTATATATTTGTTTGTAGAACATTCATGACAGAAGTGAAAACTAGAATCGAAGAATCTTCTCTATGTAAAGAGTTCGACTGGTCTCAAACAGATATTATTCACACTGCTCGGGTGCCAATTCTTCATTTACAAACACAGAAACATATGCAAGTTGATATTCAGTTCGAGAAATATGCATCAATTAGAAATACCTGCTTTGTTCGACATTGTGCTCAGGTCTGCGATTGCAGTTCTTGTTTCTCTGAAAGTTCTAAAATTTCGTGAACATTTGTAGATTGCTAAAAGTATTCAAAAGCATGCCAACCTCTTAAGAAATGAGTTAACATGCAGATTTATTGAAATTTATATATCCTTTTTCAAATGCATCTGATTCATTATGGAAATTTAGTATGACAAACGGGTGGCTTTGCTGAACATGTGGGCACAAAAATGGCTAGAATCGCAGCGATTGAAGGACAGCAAACATGGTTTATTTTCTACCTATCATGTATTGATGTTGGTTCTACATTTTTTGCAAGTATGTGAAGGTTATTTTTATTAAATATATTGATTTGAAGAAGGATCATGCTACTTATGTAGCATATTTTTCTATCAGCAGTTCTTTTGTCAAACTTTGTACATCGGTCCTTTAATAGGCTCGCATTTCTAACAATTAGACGCTCTCTATGTGGTCCATTTACTGGTTCGTTCTTTGTTGTTTCTGTCTTTTTAGAATTGATATACTTAACATGGTTAAGTAGTCTTCAACTTTTCATTTGCAGTGCACTGGTTCTTACGGTATTCAACCGATTTTACCAATTATGTGCAAAAAATTCAGAGGAAACTTGAGGCCCACCTTACCAATCCAACGAGCAGCAGTATCTTTATATGAGAGACCTGTATGTTTTTTTAGATCTTTTTTCTTTATTCTCATGGATTTTATTGTGAAAGTTTGGGTTCAGTCTGAATATAACTTTCTTATGCTCAAAGTCCTTCTTTGTTCGTTATTGTAGTTGGTGTGGATGAAACGTTGAATGAAAGGACTGTGGAACGATTTTATTTGTTAACACCCACAATATATAAATATTAATCTAAAGCAACAGTACTTGTAATTTCGTAGAGTGTCTACGAATTTGATGAAGAAAATGTAAAAATGAATGAATTGAGGGGAAATGAACTGAATTGTGAGTGAGCCAGAGTAACTGAACTGTAGCTTACTGGTAAAGAAAAACTGAGAAAATTGATGAAGTCAAGGGATTTAAATCTTTATTTTATTTGTTGCATTGACTTGCAACAAGAGCATGATTATTGAGTAAGGGCTATCAGATGACCTTTGCTCTTTATATAGTAAGAAATGGATTTTAATATTGTAGCTTCTCAAAGAATGACTATTAGCTTAGAAAACCTTTACAGTATTTCGACATGCAAGCAAATTTGATTTGGAGCAAAGGAGTAATTTTTAATATATTAGACAGTGCACGTACCCTTTGTTATCAGATGAAAATGTTTAGACAAGAAATAAGCCCAACTACAATGACAAGATGAGTGTTGGAATAATGGTTGCTTACAATTTGCAGTTTGAAACAGTTTTATATTTCTGGTGTTCATTTAAGACAAATTGTAGTATTATCGGTTAATACGATTTTATTTGATATATTTTGTAAATTATTTGGAGGTTCGCGAGATTATTTTCGAATTTCGCAACAGATTTGGCTTTGGATCGGAATTTCTTGAATAAAAATGGATATTTCCAGTTAGGAATCTCTAAGCTAAAGTATAATTTCAGAAAGATTTAGATTTCAACGAAAAACAAGAACCAGATGTGGCAGAATTAATATTGCTATTTGTCAGTCATTATGCAAAGTATGATTTCAATCATATCAGTTTTCATCTAAACAATGCTTCTATTACCGAAAAGAACCAATTCGGGTAGCCTCTTCGTTTCTTTTTTTCAAATACCGTCAGAGTAATGTCAAATACTTCTTGACTGCTAACTTGAAATTCTACTTTTTATATTTTTTTTTACGATATCATCAACGTATTGATTTTGTGATAAAATTTAAAATAGCTTTTTTTGATTTTATTACAAAATAATGTGTTTTTTACTTTTCCAATTCCTACGAAGATGAATACAGGTTCAGTAAAAGAACTATCGGCACAAATTGGAACAAGATGAAAGTATATTGTAGGTGTTAATAAATATTTGGATCTTCAAGGAATGTTTTATATTCGTGAAATATCTTTGATTTTTTATCTTTTCGCTTCGAAATTTCAGTTGGTAAAATTTATTTCAGTAATGAATATGAACAACATCAAGTTTCGATATTTGATCCATACGCTTCAACCACAATTTGTCGCGTCAAAGGAGGAGCAGATCTGTTAACATATGCTTTTCAAACTACCAAAAAAGCTATGCTTGCTGGTCATTGTCTTAATTGGCCGATTTCTATGAAGTAAATGTACCTTTTTCATAGAAACGTGTTGCTCAAAAAAGATGAAACCATTCCAACAATTATCTGGGATTTTGTATTTCCAGAAGAAAGGTTTTTGGTGATAAAGCTTTTGGTGATGATTTTTGCGGGGAAAAGATATATTAGTGTTGGAAACATTATTTCCAATATTTTTTCACTTAAAAATTACGCTACAAAAAGATGTTTAGTATATGTTCGAAGTTGATTTTGAAACATTTAATGGCTAGCCCATGATAATTCAGTGTATATTCGATAATTTTTCGTTCCATAATAAACTTTTTACCAATGTATCTTAAATTGTGGTCTGATTGATCTTCCCCAGTGAACGAAGCATAATGCGATTAAACAGTCTGATAAGGCTAGTTCATTAAAACGAGATGGTAAGTTAAGACAGTGAAAGGACTTTTGATTTACGGATAAAAGGATGAATTATTTCTTCATTATTCATAATGAAACAATCTCATTGACAGTTTAGACAAAGGATAGGCGAGTACTAGGAAGACTAAAGTTGAACTCGTCAATCGTTTGAGAAAAGTTCACTCGTCATTCGCTATATATTTGCTATATATTTAGCCATCTCTGTCACTTCAAATGACTTTGTTTGGTTTTTTTGATTTTTTCTGTTTAAAAATCATTGACTCGAGTAAAGTGAGCCCACTAATTTTAGAAATAATTTTATTTTTTTAAAAGAAGCGATAATTGGAGGGAGGTGAATTTTCTCTCTTTCTTCCTTCCCCTTCTCGTCTCTATTCTGATCCTGTCTGTTCCCCTTCTTGGTGTATTATTTATCTATCTTTTGCATTTTCAAATTCAAAAATTTGGGCAAATTCCATGATTAGTACGACTTTGATGAATCTAAAGAATCACTATCTTACATCCTACCCAAGATATTTTTCCAACAAAAATCTTTAACGTTCTACCATAACTTGGGAAAGAAGCGGACAGGTAAAACTTATTTGATGTTTTAAAACCAATAAACTTCAGTGAAACTTTGAACACATATGAAAAGAATTCCTAATTGGAAGGACATGTAAATTGCCAAAAAAGAATTTGCCTTAGAGAGAACAAAGGAGACATTTAGGACAGTATCTGATTCTTGCTTTAATGGAACAACCAACAGTTCTTTTCGAATGAAATTGCACAACAACTTGCCACAAATTCTTACTGCTAGTTATTCTATTTCCTACAGGTAATTCATCTATAGGAAATAGAATAACTAGCAATTCACCTGTAGGAAGGTAATTCACCTGTAGGAAATAGAATAACTAGCAATTACTCAACTAGCAATTACTACTGAATTACTCAACAGAAAAGGAATCATTTGGGAACTTCACAAGTTAATCACATTGCAAACTTGTAATCAAATTTAACCGAAAAGATTATTCAAGTAATTTAAAATAAATCCCTAAAATGTATGAAATTTTGAGTAAGTTACCTATTGCGGTTGAAATATTTGCAAGATAAATTATGCAAAATATATAGCCTTGTGAATGATGTCCATATTAAACTGTTTTGAACAACAAAGTAACTTTTCTTCAGTCTATAAGTTACTGACGAAATACGCCTTGCACTTATGGTTTATGTATGTTTTAATATTGGGCATTTTTTCAACATTAAAGTTTAGTTTAAAGAGATTGAAGATGAAGCTTTTTATGTGAATTTCTATATGGAAGTAATATGGCAGTTCCTCCGGGAGTAAACGTATCATTTATTCATTTCTTCGCTGTACAAAAAAGAAAAAATGAGTGGAAATGGAGATGAAAGATATGGACATATGTCTTCCGATAGTTCTCATCCCAAATAATTACCGTCAATCTATTGTCTTATCATATCGAAGACATCGATGATGTGTAGGATGAGGCGACAGATATGATATGGGTCGGAGAAAAGGGTTTTGGGAGGGGAGGAGTAGACGACATTCCGATCCACGAAGGCCTATTTAAATGGTTTAAGTTGTATGCGTCTGTATGATCACACAGTAATGTAATTGGATTCATATGTAGATTTTTCTTTTATTTTGGATGGGAAGGAATCGTTCATTATTCTGAGGTATAGTACCAATCAGTTAATTCATCCTAAAATTCGACTAAGTGTTAGCGCCAAATCAGTTCCTCCATCTTTTAATTAGTGTCCTCTTGTCATAACCATCTTTTCGGTCTCCTATAATCCACAACGTTTACAGTTTTATTCACTAGAAGTCTTTGGCGGCACTACCATAACTTTATTCCTTTAATTCCAGCTGTGACAATGGAGTCAGATGGTCGTATAAAAGCTTATAAATTTGTCGCCTATTCTGCTGTATCATTTTCCATTATTGCGGTATTGTCTGTCGTTATATCGTTACCCATGGTTTATAATTATGTGGCACATGTAAGGCGACAAATGCATCGTGAAATTAATTATTGCAAGGTAATTTCGAGAAATTGAATAAAATAAAATTATAATTCAAAGTCGTCAACTTCAATCTTTTCAACAAAGTCCATCAGATTTTACAAAAACTGAGCTTCATAGAATACAGCAAGCAAGAGGATGAACTTTTGAAGTTTTTGTGTGTTTTTTCCCTTATTCTAACATTCTTATTTGAATGTTGCAGTTTTTGAAAGATCGCAAAGCGTTATTATGGTGTTATTAATAATATTAGCTGAAATTTCGGCATCATCCCATCCATTTTAAAATTGTTGCCTTGTGGCAATATTTTGCACAGGAATAAAATGAATAGATTGTTTGGGTTCATATCATTTCAATCCTCTTTGTTAATCAATTAAGTAATGCTATCATTTGAAGTATCTTCAAGAAAATATCATTTTAGGAAACCCATTCACTGGTAATATTTAAATCAAATGGCTATGTGACAATTTATACTTTCCGCTTAAAGCTTTTAGAAACTCATTTGGCATAATTGAAAATGTCTTCTTGATTACATAAATCCATTAATTATTCATCATTAACATGAATAATCTACTATTAATCATAAAATACAGTTAACAGGAACTTGTCAATCAGGGCACATTTAGGGTGATAAAAGATTCCATTTCTTTTCTACGCCATAGCAGTGAATCAGGTCATTGAATTTTATGATCGTAGCTGCAATGAATGATGAAATTTGGGTCAAAAATCGGCATTTGCTCTTAGGCAAAAGCGGAGCAAAGAAGATGAAAAAAGGATAAATGTTGTTTGCATATACCTCAACTCTGTTGACAAAATTTTAGATAGTTAAATAATTTATAGCTATAATTGATAATTATCAAATCAAAGTTTACTATTTATGTAAATTTCTACATTTAACATTTAGTCTCTTGTAAAACATATATTTCTGTATTTTGGAATAACAGCATCTTTCTTTTAAACTTTCAAACTCTCGTTGGAAAAATCAAAATAACACTTCAGATGAAGAAAATAATTTCCTAATTTCCCAGCTACTTGCTACAGTTTGTTAAGACTTCTGATAAGTTCTACACTATGCTCGTGATAGATATTTAACTTTTTGATTATTTTCTTACTAAGCAGTTAAAAGCAAGATATTTTCTGTTTCGAATGATTCAAGGTTAATGGGAAAATAAATAATTTTTGATTAATCACAAATATTCATTTAAATGAAGTCAGAATATCCAACTCGCTGTATAGTGATTTGGTAGTATCGAATGATTTAAAACAGATTTTTAAGTGTAAATTCTAGTTAAATGAAGACAAAGATACATGATTGTTTAGATGATGTCTTAAAATATTAATGGAAAATGGATCAATCGCTTTCATTTCTGCAATTCTTTTTCGAACCGAATTAGTTTAAGTTCTAGAAAGTCATTACTATTTATGTGAGGATGGAATTGCTAGACTTACAACGGTTGGTTATAACTTCAAATAGAAATCATTTGCAAACTTGTGAAGCTCCGATTCAGCAGTTTAACTGCTAATCAACAACTATTCATTTATCCCAATTAATTAATCACAAACTATAGACCGAAGCAATTATGAGACCTTAAAGCTATTACAAATTTTAAAAGGAAATTGCTACCAAAAATCGTTTGTAGCAGTTGTTAGGATTAAAATTCTGTGTGTGCTCCACTTCAAAGATTCAGATAGCTTTTTGAAGTATCGCTTTTGTGACGGTTATCTTGTTTGTTATCTGTATTAATAAATAATAAATAAAAAAGCTATGAGTTAGGTCAGATCACAGTGCTAACATCGAACATTTGTTCACTATTCTATGTTCTGTTTCATTTCGAATATCGTCATTATTATAGTTTAGATAGAGAAATCGTGAAAAGTTAGGAAAATGGCACATTTATTTTACACACATTTTATTCATCATTAATATTAATTAATTAATTTCACACACATTTTATTCATCATTTATTAATATTAATTAATTAATGCATTAATACTTTCTGAACTTCGTCTGTAACCACTGAGATTTGTATCGCAGCACTATTCTGTTGACTGAGTGAAGTGCTCTGCTAAGTGACAAACAGTTCGAAAATAGTTGATTTATTGCTCAACAAATAATAGCGTAAACAGCAGAGAGCTCTGCTTCACTTCCCTTACTGACAATTCTTTAAAGAAAATCTCGGCAGAATTTCAGTTGTTCCATAACAATTGTTGAGTGTTACTTAAGTATTAATACTGTCTATACTGAAGTTGGCTTTCATTTTCAACTTAGCATGTGAGGCTACATTTGAACGAATTGAATTATCGAAATTTCAGGGTTCAGCGAATGATATATATATTGAAGTGAATTACATGAAGAATGCACCTGAAGGTTTCAAACCTAATAACAGAACAGCACGACAAGCGGGTTACCCTGAGGTGAACCCCACAGCAAATGTACACTGTGAAGGTTGCTGCATTCCTGGGCCACAAGGCCCACCAGGTCCAGCAGGTAAGCCAGGAAAGTCTGGTAAGCCTGGTGTACCTGGAAATCCTGGAATGCCAGGTAAACCACCAACTGCTCCCTGTGAATCTGTGACACCTCCACCATGTAAGCCATGTCCTCAAGGTGCTTTTTTCAATTTTTAAGTGAATTGTTATAACATTATTACCTATTAAACTGCTTAAGCTATCTAGAACCGCTAGAAATTTCTGAATTAACATTTCAAGTCAGAAATTCTTAAATTAGTGTGAGCACTTGCTATAACTATTTCTACTTCATCTTTTCCAGAAATATTTTATTTTCTTACTAATATTTGTATTTTTAGGACCACCTGGATTGCCAGGACCACCAGGAGCACCAGGAGATCCTGGAGACGCTGGAACACCTGGCCGGCCAGGTATTGATGCAAGTCCAGGAAGTCCAGGACCACGAGGGCCTCCGGGACCACCAGGTGAGCAAGGACCTCAAGGACCACCTGGTGAGCCTGGCATACCAGCACAGAGTGAGCCACTTACACCAGGAGAGCCAGGTGAGCCGGGTGATCCAGGACCACCCGGTCCTCCAGGACCACCTGGACCACCAGGTGCGGATGGAGCCCCGGGACCTGCAGGACCAAAAGGATCTCCAGGTCCAGATGGACCGCCAGGTGTCGATGGACAACCAGGACCTCCCGGACCAGCTGGTCCTCCCGGAACACCAGGAGAAAAAGGCATTTGTCCTAAATATTGCGCTATTGATGGTGGTGTTTTCTTTGAAGATGGTACCAGGAGATAATTTGGCGAAATTGATACATTATTACATTTTCCTCATATACTTTCTCCTAACTTCGTTCAGAATTTGATTGTTTTTTTTTTTTTTGTGAATTCATTCCTACTTACACTTCTCTTGAAAGTTAAAATTAACTGATGAGATTTCAACAATTTCTACCCTTTTCCTTTTTTAAAAAAAATGAATAACATAGTTCTTTGTTAATTTTAAATGTTATTGAAAAAACAAAAAATCATTTCCCAATTATATTTAGTTAAAAATCGATTCACTTTTAATGCAATTTTTACTTTCTCTTTTTTGTTGTGCTGCTCATTGACAAATGACTACCATGAAAAATAGTTTTGCAGTATTATTTCGTTAAAGGACTAATTGATATAAGCTTGTCATTCGTTTTCAAATACCATTTCTTCATTTATTGTTGTACGAAGTCATTCCTATATAACACTCAACAGAGTGGAACAACTAGAGCGCAAATGTATTTAAAAAAGTTGCACAAACTTCGACTCATTACAATCGTTTCGAGATATTGAGTAATGCTTAGTAGTGTCAGTGAAGATCGTTTTTTTGTGCAATAAAATTGTAAATGCTCAATTTAATGGTACACTACAACAGAGGCTATAATTCAAAATACTTTTTTAAAAAATTGTTCCACATTTTGCGAAGTCAGTAGTATAGCATTTGCACTAGAGGTTAAAGTTGAATTTTCCAGAATAATAAAATGATGCGGCGATGTGATATCGCTTGATTCCATCCTTTCAGATCATATTTATCACTATTAATCCTTTGGTGGGAATTGATCAGAAATAAATTTATTCATCAATAGTTCGGGATTGCAAAAAATGTGAAAGTTTATGAAGAAACTATTACAAATAAAAGCACCCCATGGTTTTATTTTCTGCTTATGATTATATTGCTAATAAATTTAAATTCTTTCGTCTTTTACGATTATCATCGAAGCTGTCGCTGAATTACATTAGAGAAATAAGTTTTAATGCAAACACAAAAATACTACTAACTGAAGGACAGAAGTATGCTCTAACGACGCTCGCATATTCATTGTGTGATAAAATCTTAAGATTTTTAAAGGAAAAGGAATTTTAGATCTCATCAAAGTTATCATTTTGTAGATAATCGATTCGAAAACTTGGGTAAAAATCAATGCAGAAATGCTCAATTTCAGTCAATGCATGATGCAGAACTGTAGTAATAAACGTTATCTTTTATGGCAAATTTTCTGTTTTTGCGACAAAATATTAGAAAAGCAGACAAAAGATTAACAACTGTCAACTGTTGACCTTTTCCAGAAAGTTAATATGCATAATCGTAATTGTATCTGCTGTCACTTTATAGAATCATATTTTGAACTTTTCATAGATATTTAATAAATACAAAATATCTTCCATGTTTACAAGAAGTGCCATTAAAATAAGCATGATTGCTGTGCCACCAAATGTGCTATGTGACTGCCTATGCCATACCACGCGGAAAGGTAGAACAGGTGGTATAAGAACATTGAAAAACAAACAAATGTGTCATAGCTTCCCTCTATCAGAAAGGGCGTTTATGCAATCTACATCAAGATTGTTACCGGCTACCACATTTTGTCGTTAACTTTTAGATCAGTGATCTAATTAATAGGTTATTTAATCAATCAATCGATTAATCAATCACCAATATTTCTTTTGCATTTATTTTATTTGATAAGAATTCGTTAATTGTCATGCATTTGTCTACTAAGTTTCTTTATACACTTTGATATTTTGTCACTGATCTAGAATAATCCTCAATGTAGCGTTTATTTCATTTCCTCTCTTTTTAGCATGACCAAGTGCGGGAAGTAATACTCTTCAAATCAAAAAACATTTGCGACGAATACATTTCTACTCTGTCAATAATTACCACATATTGCTTATAATCTATCACTGGAAGCAAATAACAGAGTTGTTTATTAAAAATACATTTATAATAGTCAATTTCTTGATGTAAATAATATAAGCACAGGTTTGACATTATTCATTATTAAGATGACTATGATAAATGTATTGAAATTGAGCTGTTATGTCGGATCATTCTTGAAACAAAACAATTTGTACTACCAGGGATTTCCATTGTCACCACTACGATTGCTCCATTCAGCATCAGAGGATCTGAGACATCAGAAAATCGAAATAGAATGGAGATACAGCGGCATTCTGAATTGGGAAATGATTCAAACGTGAGCTTCCTATCAATGAAATAAATTTGCTTTAGTGAAATGTTATTTTACATTGCTAAAATATTGACAGTGCTTAATGGGACATACATTCTTCAGGAAATGCCATCACCAGGAGGATTTAATCTTCGTCTAACAGTACCCAAGAAACATTATTCAGTGCAACGAAACGATTCACTCCAATTTATCATTACACCTGTTTTCGACAAGGTCATTTCCAATGGTTATTTTCGTTGCAATTAATGTTGTTTGTTTTTTTGATCATGAGTTAATGATCTGTAGGAAAATTTTCTTTGTGTATAAGTAAAATTGGACTCCCATATTTATTTATCTTTACTTAATATTTATCTCGTTATTTATTATTTACATATTTACTTTTTCATTTATTTGATTACGAGTCTCTTATACATATAAATAAAGATGGATAAATTTATTTGAAGTAATCTCAGGTGATGAGACTTCTCAATGCTGTAATATTTAGATTCCACTTTATGCTGTTTGAACTTTCTAATTATTCATAGTTACGATACATTGATAAAATAGATTAATTGATGGATACTTATTCAAGCATGAAAGTATAGCTTTGATTTTGAGTTCCTGAGAACTCGTTCTAATATAAATAAAAGTTGCTTGATGTTAACATAGTATTATTTCGAAGCTATATGGTCTTGTAATACCGTATTCGACTCTCCTTACATTATCTCTTGTTTTAATTTCTTTTTAAGTGAATTATCAAGTTGCTAAATCTTTTTGTTTGAAGTAAGTCACAAAATCTGTAAAATTATTGCCTTACTAGTAAATGGCATGTAAACAAGGATCCCTTAATGATTTTTAATTGTATTGATCTTAGAATTAATTCAATTTAGAAATTAATTAAACAAAATTTTGTTGTAGGCGATGATGCAGAAGAAGACACCAAGTTCACCAGGTACGGTGCTTACTGTTGCCGGATTGTTTGTCGTTGGCATAACACTTGTTCTAAGCGGAGTTATTGTGTTATGTCAGGTTTGCCTTCTCACTTCCACATTGATCATTTAATTTTCCCTATCTACTGGATGTACTAATCACTTGAATCCATCACTTAGGATCAGTGCCCAACTGCATCCGAACTACCCATAATTTCATCATGACAATTTAATCGAAACATCTTCTATATTCTGAAAGTTTGTAAATAGATAGAGGGAACGTATCTCAAATCAAGGCTTCATATTAGCTAGATTATTGAGCCAACATTTAAAGTTATTTACTATTTATAATGAACGAACATAATTAAAATTTCCTTTAAAGATAGATATTTGCAGCAATCAGAGCAACCTTTTCGTATTTGCGGAAGTTTGTTCATTGGCTTCGGTGTATCAATGCTGCTAATTTGTGCTCTGCTGCAACGTAAAAATATCATCAAATTTATTGAGGACCTCAATCAAGACTTGTATTTCTTCTCTATGAGTGATAGCTATATGTGGAAATTGATGTTTGTTAATCGAAATGAGCTTCCAGAACCTCATGAAGGATGAAATTGCACCAAGCACTACTTTTCCTTTGTCCACATTTCTTTAAATCAACAGTACATTTCGCTTCGCTATCGTTTTCATCGCTTAATGAAAGCTAATAGTGCATATTGTATCAGATGCAGAGTTATATTATTGAAGCAAAGTTATATGATGAGTTGTATGGTCACTAAGTTATATGGTTAAGACTATCTTATTGTGTCAATTAAATATCAGTATTCCTTACATTTGCATACAAATTTTCAATCAATTTTATAAAAAAGGTGACTTTATGAGAGTGAGTCGTCTCCTTCCTTTTTCAATGATTTTTTTTAAAATAATTTAAACGGTTGCAATATTCAGCGATGTCTATGTAAGATGTCTTTTTGCTATCAGATGACCTTTTAAAATGATAAGCCCAGTAATAGCTATGATGCCGCATTTACCGCTCCAGATTTTATCAATATTCTAAAATCATAACAGTTCCATTCGCATTGCAAAACTAATTTTTTCAAAAGAAGGAAAAATTTTTTGAAGAAATCTTCTCTTGTAAGTTCAAATGAATGGACACGGAATGCTTCCAATCACTTTTTACTTCTGATGAACGATCTAACACGTAACACAATCCTCTTGATAAAATGACTATAAAAAGATTTCCCATGTTGCCTCTCTCTTCATTTGCAGTTTGCAATCGTCAGAAGAAAAAGAACGACATGAGGAGGTGATCATTGAAACAAATAATGAAGGCTTGGGAATGCGTGTCGATGAAAATTTACACGTGATTGAGATAACTAAGCAAGGTCCTTGTGATGGTAAATTATTGCCTGGGGATCACATTATCCAAGTTCATTTTAATTTTATTCCAAAATGAGATTTCGAGAAAGAAAGAACTTCTTGAAATTCTAAAATTGAATTACTGATGATATGAATATTTAAATGAATTCAAGAAAAATGAGGAAAATGCTCATAATGAATTTTTTTTTTTTGCAAAATGCAATTTTGAGAAGACAATGACAGAATCACAAATTTGTAATCGCAATTTATCAATTTGCTCATTCATTCTATCTTTTACTTTTTGCGCCTTCCGTTTGAAAATCATTTGAGTCTATAATAATAAATGGTAAGCAGATAAATAATGTGCGTGACAGTATGAATAGAATTAATGAAGCAGTTAAGATCGGAGATCGTACAGTTCAAACAGTTGATGAGGCTAGAGAAGCAATTGAAGCAGCTGGTGTATCAATTCGAATTGTATTCGATCGTGGGCTGCAAAGTGTAACTCTTGTTACTGGCTTATTGTAGCTCTTTGAATTTACTTACTTAATAACTAAGGAAGTGGCCTCTTTACTGAAGAAATAATAAATGACTCATAAAGTTGGTTGAGTGTTGTCACGATAAATATTCCATCCAGTAAAACGATCAATAAACATGTTTTCAGACGACTCAGGATAATATTCCGGAACAATATGAAAGTTTATTTAAACGTCGCGAAGGCTTCACATATCACTATGTTCAAATTAATTATGTCAAAGGGTGTAAATTTGGCCTTGGCATTAAGCATTTCCAGAACAATGTAATCGTGTCACGTATTGATCCAGGTTCTATTTCCATATATTTTTTTGTGATCAATATTCCATTTATTTTTAAATTAGCCTTGGCTTTTTTTGTTCCAGTGTATTTATTTCAAGATAAAAATAATTACTAGCTTTTCATGGGTTTGACCAAACTTTAAAAGATAAACTGTTGAAGTTTTCTAAGAAAAGGAAACTACCGTAGTTATCTGCCATTATGTCATGTTGCAAAGTCTCCTTTTAACATGAAAACCAATTTCTTTGAAGTTCATGTCTCCTGCCTGATCGTATGGTATTCATTTCACAGAAAGCACATCAACTGAAATGATGGAAGACAAATGTAAAAAGAAATAAATTTAAATGAAATTTCATCATCTAATTTAATTTCATAGGGTATAGAAAGTCCGAATTTCATTTGTTCAGGCCATTTTCAGGCTCATTAGCAGCACAGTCACTTCAGGAGAAAGATCACATCATTGATATCAATGGTATAAAAGTAACTGATAAAGAAGTTGCGAGAAGTTTGCTTGTCCGAGCTCTTAAGGTTGCGAATTCCTAATAATTTACATTAAATGTAGAATTTTTTATGTCAAATTAAATATATTTCATACTTGCTTATATTTTATGCTTCAGTTTTAGAAGAAGAATTTTGTTAGCATGTGCATCGAACGTCCGGTTTCCGGAAAAGCGAAAGAATGGGCGGATGATGCCATGAACGCATCTCAAATGCAACCTCCATCAGTTGCAATGGCGTCTGATGTTCAGGAAATAGCAGCCCGTCAGCAACAAAAAATGATGGAAGCAATGGACACTAAGAAGGTTAAGTTTTAAAAGAGAAAAAAATTTCTTAGTTGTCAAAGATCCATTTCTTATTCAATTACGGCAAACACTCTGCTTACTTACAATAAAATTTGAACGAAATTTTTATGTTTTCAGCCTGGAATAATGAAAAAAAATATCAATAAAGGAGGAGGATCTGACCATGCAAGGATTGTGAAAATTGCACCAGGCGAAAGACAAGATGTAAGTTAATAAATATTTTTCAAATTTTAATCTAGATGATGGAAACAATTCGTTAGTTCAAACTGTGCTTCAGCAGTTGAGACAAAACACGCAAATGCTAAATTTCTTGATGACAATAGCCTAAATGACATTAAAAAAGTAAAGGATGACCAATGCAGATTTTTCGCTTTGGTTGGATCTATAAATAGTAATGTTATGGCACATTTCTTGCTACTACCACTCCATTTCTATCTAAAATATTAGGCTGTTTGTATGCCTTAGTACCTTTTTTTAAATCCTCTACAGCACTAAACTTATCAAAAATTAAAGAGAATGTACGAAAAGTAATTATTATAGATCAATAAGACAGCTTGTAAACAAATAAATTAAATGTATGATGTAGTAGATATTGTCGACCACTCACTATGTTTAAGTTGAGTGGTCATTAATGTCCAATTGGATAAAATGAAAAGCCTAAATTCTTTTGAAAATTTTCATTTCTTTTCTTTCTATTATCTCCAAATTAATTTCAAAGGTGTTATTAACACAAGTTTCTTCCAAAATCTATTGCAGGTGATAATAGCAAGTGATAATGAGGGGAAACAGTTGAGACGCGTGAAGGAATGATAAATTTGCACCATTCGCATAGGTGCAATTTTAATTTCTCAAATAAAACCTGATCAATCTGAAAAACTTTTCATTGCGCTTTTCTCTCTGAACTAATTCATTTAATCGGATGGGTGCTAATATCATGTTATCGTAAGGTTTACGCCATTTCAAAGGGTTGTTGAGGATAATCTCTTGCTTTCTATCAAATTTCATAACACATAGAGGAAGAAAAAATTAGAAGACAACAGATCAGAAGAAATAAGATTTGTAAATACTATCTTAAATTATCTTACGTTATCTTTTTACGATACTTCGATAAATAATTGCCTTCTTCATATTCACTCAAACATTCCAATTGATTTACGCCAATCTACAAATGCTTAGTCCACAAATAACGAGGAAGACTGCATTTGTAATGTGTTTACAAAGAAAGATGAGAATTGAAATGATTAAATGTACAATAATTTATTATTAATATAATAAGCAAAAAAAAAAATTTTTCTTTAAAATAAGAATTAGCCAGGAATTAAAATTCTGTTGACTGGTCATTTAGAATGAATGGATTCATCCTATCTGCATTGTATTTGTTTCTATTTTGCTAAAATAAGTAAAAAGTGTGAGCTGAACAAATGCAATGGACCATATTTTGGAATATAAAAACTCTTTATCACAAACAATGAAGCAAAGTTTTGAACGAATGAAATGTTTAGTTTGTTGGTAATCACAAAACTAACCAAGACATTTAGATTTAATTTTCAAAAAAAATACGTTTTTTAGAAAAAAAAATTTTTTTTGCAGTTCTTTCAGCGACTCACCTCTCGTCTACCCTAGCAGAGTTATACTAGTAGTTAGTAAACTATTTATTAGTTATGGCTACTATAGAACATCTTAACTCATTATTGTTCATTCATTACCTAACATTTCTGCAAAACTGGCGGTCATCATTAACCAGCGATGCTTGTATTACTTGTAAAGTACATGTTCGTTCTGACAATATGATTTACGTGGATAACAACTGACAAGTGTAAATAACAAGTGCTAACTACTTACGATGGTCTTTGGAAAACAAAATGTGAAAGTGTGCAGTAAATAACAGATGAGTTAATTATTGTCATTAATTTGTAAACTAAGTGTTCAATGAATAATGCAGTATGTATACTTTACAGGTTTGTTGAGAAGGGCTGGAACACTAGTAAAGAAATGTCTTTTTTTAACGAATTTGAAGCACAGTTGGAAAAAGTTTCATTCTGAATCTATCATGCAGAACAAATGAAATGATATAAGAAAGCGAAGAGTATGAGACATTATTATGCAAAATATTGAAACGATATTTTCATCACTTTGAAAATCTCCACACCCTTTCTTTTATAATAATAATTTATAAATAGACTTATCGCAGTGGTTTTTTTCACGATAAACAAGACAGTTTTATTAGTTCAATTTCTCACCTTACTGATATTAAGTAAAAGTTTAGCTAAGAAAAGCGAAAAGTAAAGAAGTTTTAAGCAACAGTCTTGTTGAGTATATCAAAAGATTCGCTTTATTTACTTTATTCGTAAATTTTATTCGTAAATTGGTCAAACACTTCAGCAAACTTTCGATCTACAATTCTTAAATTGGACATGGCTTGGCCCATTCATTGTTGAAAACTCCAACTGCAAATAAAACTTATTCCATAACTGATAGACCAAATTCCCTAAATAATTTAAGGACAGTAAATAGAAAAGGCAGGGAAAGCAGACTGAACGTAAATCACTTAAGTCAAACATTTCTCTATTATGACATAGGCTGGAGAAGTGAACTGTACACTGGGAACACGCATGCTTCACTTCGTGTCGTGTCGTCATCGTAATTAGTTCATTACTGGTTGCAAATTATGTGCGCGAAATACAAGTGACCGATTTCGCGTCTCATCTAAGCTCAGTGGAAATCTCATTCACAATTTCTAATCTGAACTGGCAAATAAATTTTACTATGTGATGTGATGATGTCTGGAAGATAGAAGGACATGCAAACCTAATTCCGTATCTCTTCTTCATCCTTCGCGAATATTTATCAGGAAACACCTCCTCAACAATTTGCAATTTGCTGTGTATTTCAGGGATGCTCTCTCTTCCATCTGGAGAACATTTCATCAATTCATTTACACCTTAATTCCTCAATTCACTGATGAAGCACTTAGTCCTTCGAGTGACTCCAGTCTGTTTGAGAGTTGGCTGACTACAGTAATTTAGCAGATATCGTTTCACAGTGATACGATCAATGTGACGAACCATTTTGCAAATCTTTTCTAGCACATGATAATCAATTCATTGCTAGTCTATTTGTCATATATTTCAGTTCCTTCTTTCTAACGAATGGTGTCATCTGCAAAAGATTTACCTTATGGTGCTGAATATGCTAAAAGTAATCGTGCTGCTTGTAAGGGTTGTCATGGTTTAATTTCGCAGGTAAATTTATTTAAATCCAATAATTCGTTCACACTAATAAAGATTAGTGGTTAATTCAAAAAACGAATCATCCATAATAATGCAGTTTACTTACTGTAATTAAGCTATAAAAATGGCACCGAAAATAAACAATTATATAGATAAAGTGGCATTTTAAGTGAGTGTAAAGGTACACTTACAGTTAAGTATGTTTCAAATATTATACGGAGCAAATGTAATGTAATGATGATGTTTCCACTAATAAATAAAAATTTAAGGACTCACTTCGCATGTCTCTCCGGAAACCGAGTCGTTTTTTTGATGGTTTACAAGACAACTGGTATAATTTCGAAGTTCAATATGAAATTCATTTTTTTCGTAGTAGAATTTTTGGTGAATGTTCTCTTCAGGTTTCACTTCACTTGTTTTTGGAAAAAAATAAAGCAAAAGGACATAAACGAAGCCTCTATCCGTGGTCTGGAGCTTCTAAAATGGAATGATCAGGAACGAATTCGTAAAAAAATAAGCGAAAATCAAGGTTGTTTGAAGCATGTCTTTTCTGTCAAGTTAGCTAAAAAATTTTGAAGATGTTTTAATTATGGGTTCTAGCAGCATTTTAAATTGTTGCTTCGCTTAAGGACAGTATTTAACTCGTTATTTTAACTCATTTCTTATTTTTTTGGATTACTTTGACTTTTACTTTATGGGGTAATAAAAAAAGAGCTTTTGTTCACAGTTAATGCATTCAGTGTAATAAAAAAAAAAAATAGCTGATCAAAGAGATGAAGTTTTAGAGGTTAGGAATAAATGCTTTTTCATTTAGCTGGAGTATCTGATGTAGAGCTCTCTATTATCTGTGAATATGCTATAACTGGTCGCAGCAAGTGCGTGAATTGCAAAGGAAATATTGAAAAGGTTTGGGGATAAGAGAAATAATTCTAAAAATTGTTTTTCATTAGTATCAATATTTAACCATTTTTTCCGTGTCTCATTTATTACCTTAGAGAATGTGCTGCTGTTAATGCTAGTTTAATATTAAGTTTCTTATTTTTGAGAAAATGTGATTGAGAGATTCTGACTAAAATATTTGTAGAATACTCTCAGACTTGGGATGAAATCAGCATGGTATCACGTAAACTGTTTTGTGAAAATACAACAAAATACCAACTGCGCTGAAAAGTTCGTAACAAATATTGGAATTTTAGTAATTGAATTAAACCAGGAATCTCTATATTCATAATGGAGTTTTTGTTTCTGCTTTCCCAGAAATTTCGAGAAACTTTCGAAAGTAAATTTATTAATTTTGTTTTATTTTTGTACTTTTTTTTCCTGTACTTTTTTCAGTTATTGTGGAAGGTTTTTCAGATTTTTTGGTTTCCAAGATTTGTCAGAATCTGATCAAGATCTCCTGAAAAAAATGTTTAATAGACAAGCAGAGACCACTATAAAAAGAAAGTCGACGGAAATCGATAACATTACCAAAAAAGCAAGGGTGGATCAACTTGATACAAAGGAGAAGATGAAACGTCTTAAGGTGTTGTACAAAATTTATCTTATAAATTCAATATTTAAATGAATTTTCTTTATGATATTTAACTTTTACAGGCACAAACAAACGAAATATGGGCAATAAAAAAAAAATTATCAAATTGTCTGAATAAAAACGATATTCAGACTTTGCTGCAAGCCAATAACCAAGCACTTCCCAGACATGGTGGAGAGTCGAAGGTGAATTGGTCTTTTCCACTTATCTTGTAAGATTAGTGCTCAGTAATGATAAATAATTTTAGTGTAATATTTTTTTAACAAGATTTCTATTAGAATACGATCTATTTAGCTTCCAGATCTGTCGAAAATTTTATAATTTCCTGTGTTGAACAGATTCCGAAATAGATCAATGCTCAAAAATCATATCATTATGGTAATACTCAACGCATTTCTTCCTTTACTACCAGTCATTAATTTTAATCTTTTTGAGATATTTATAACGAAAATTTTTATTGTAGCTGCTGGATCGTCTTGCTGATTGCATAGTTTTTGGCTGTCCGCTTCCTTGTGCGCAGTGTAAAGAAGGTAACATTGTGTACAGGTGAATTCTTCTTACTGTAAAGGTAGGAAAACAAAAAAAAAATGGTTTTCCTACACTAATTTTTGCATAAAGAAACAACAGAAAACTTTTGCTGCAAGACTTGGTTAGGTTTATTTCAATATGTAAATTTTTAAAAATTTGCGTATTATGTCTTTACATTTTATTGCATATCTTCCCGCTTGTGTTTTTTTTTTTTTAAGAAAAATAAACTTTCTTCAGACTCATAACTTCTTAATATTTTTTCTTTCGACTATAAAATTGCAAGTTATCAATGTATGGTTTTATTCTTAGAAAGCGATTTGTTAATTTTGTTCGTTAATAAATTGATTATATTTTATTTCTGAATTGTTGTTTGTAATAGCACAGCATATTTTGTCTGATATTTTAGTTTACCAACATGTTTGGATTTTCTGAATTATATTTTATTTGTCTTCTTTTTAGATTTCCTTTTTAGCTCATCAGAACAAAGCTATGTTTGTACTGGTTATATTTCCGAATATACACGGTGTATGTATGCATGTCGCAATCCGCCTCGGAAGCCATTTATCATTCCTGATGAAATCAAAAGAAACATTTCTGAATTTAAGGATTTCAAAATCAAGGTAGTCAAAGTGGTTTCTTTTATTAGTGAAGGAATATCACATGTTTTATGGATCCGCCAGATTTAATGTTTTCTCTTGTAATTGTACATGAGAAAAGGAAGAAAGGCTTACAGTTAAAGTGAAGCAATTGTGAATGATAGCTAGTCATGAAAATTTATTACAAAATCTGAAGTGTTTTTGGATTTTCAGGATCCAAAGAACAGAGAATACAGCACTTTGGAATATGAAAAGCTAATTAAGTGAATTTTCTATTTTTTCTGATTCTTTTTCCAGAAATGTCCAAAAACTCGCAGATATTTTAAAGATTAGGATTTTGTTTCGAAATTCTCACCCTAAAAGCATTTGTTATTAGATGAAATTTCTTCCTTTTGTTCGATGGTATTCAAAATTTTAATCTCAGACCGGAGTCGCTGAAGGTCTTGGGTCAGGATGTTGGTGAAATGAGTAGCAAATCTATGAAGCACCAGAGCGCTGATCCGAGAGGTGAATTCGTTATGCTTCCCTGTTGATAAGATTTTGTTTTATTAACTAACTAAACAGAAATGGCATATAGCTGATTACCGTTATGCAGATACTCGTTTTGGAATTCAGCGACAGATTATAAAAAATGGAACAGTGGTCGATTTTGAGTGTCCACTTCATGAGGTTGTTCATGTATGGAAAGATGAAAATGGTTTTTTTTTTTTCAAGTTTTTTAGAGATTTCAGTTGTTAAAATAGACATTTAATTTATTTATTTATTGGCTTGAAAACTCATCAAATTGTCTGATTACTTATTGTTGCAAGCTTCTAGCGGTTGTGAGACCTTCCAAGACTATAACTCTCATACTGGAAATTCCATTTAATACATCTGTTAAACAGGTTGTTACTTTTGCTTGTACAGTCTTAATCTACCAATGCACATGGCCTCAGATCTGCAGGAATATTTATTATATATTTATTTATTATTATTAATATTTATTTATTACTTTATTTGGATTTTAGCTTTATCACATTGCAATATGTTTTGATCGAATTTAGTGAAAGTTTTTGAATCGTTTCAAATTCTAAATTATTCACCTTCTGCCAGGCAAACTTTGGGAAACAACACTTGGAAAGGCTGATTTTCAAACCGGAGCGAATTCATTCTATAAATTGCAACTATTAAAACACGACGTCAAGCAAAAGTATATTAGCGTTCATTTTTAATATCCTAATGCAAAGTATTTAGTTTTTCAATGAAATGTTATAAATAAGTGTTCATATTTTCAGCTATTATTTGTTCCGTTCATGGGGACGTGTGGGCACGGATATTGGTGGCTCAAAAACTGATAAGTATTACGGAAATTTGGGAGGAGCAAAAATAACTTTTGAAAAGTATGTTTATTATCGTCTTTATGAATAGCTAATTTATGTGGGATTAATTGGTTGTTATCAAATCTCACTGATATTGGATTGCAGGTTGTTTAGTGAGAAAACAGCAAATGATTGGGGAGATATTGAAAATTTCAAGAAAGTTCCTGGGAAGATGTCGCTTATTGAGACTCATTACGGAAATGTAGGAATACATTTTCTTGTTCATCCAAATGGCATTGTGGGAGCATAATACCATAGCCCAATTTGACCATTTTGATATTATGTAATTTTTATATAAGTTAGTAGAAATGATTGGAACATGAAGTTACGATAATTTTAAATCAAATTTGGACCAAAAAGAAGAAGGAAAACATGGAAGGATTAAATCAAAACCTTCTTGGATTGATCTTTTAAAAATTACATTTAGAAAACTAAATTATGGTCAGATTTACGACATATTCGTTTTCTGGTACTTTGTTCCTTATTAGAAGATTTTGAGATTATTTTCTGAATCTGAAAATACAAACAATTTTGTCTTAATATTTATTTATTTACACAATAGTCAAAAGAACTACAAGCATTCTTCGTGAAACCCGGATCGTTATCAAAGCTGCCAGAATCGATACAGCAAATTATTCAGATGATTTTTGACGTTAATGTAATGAACGATGTTCTTGAAAGCCTTGAGGTAAATTCTATTCTTACAGATTTCGAATTGTTAAATCATCTGGCTGGTTGAAGTATATGTTTAATTCTGAAGCTTTTATGCGATTGTGCTTTATTTTTTAATGGTTACTAAGTTTTTTTCCGAGGTATTTTTTGCAGATCGATACAAATAAAATGCCTCTTGGGGTATTATCAATTCGTCACATAAAAAATGCATATAAGGTTTTAACGGAACTGCAAAAAGTAAGCATATTTTTAAAAACTCTAATGAAAACTAATGGAAGAAAAGTTTTTAAGAAAGTTATGTAGAAGTTTAAGGAAATTTTTCAAAAAAGTTATGTAGAAATTTAAGATCGGAATTTAGTTAATGGAAGTTGGTAATGCCAGATATGAAGATTACTTGGATGCAACAAATCGATTTTTCACACTTATTCCACATAATTTTGGTATGAACAAACCACCGCTTCTTAACTCGCAGAAACTCTTAATTGTTCGTTTGAATTATTTCATATTTTATTTAATATGGAAATATTTGTTTGTTAATGTTTCAAAAAAAGAACAAGCTATATATTATTTGGATATAAAATTAGTTTTTTTTTTCTTGATTTGCAAAGTTTTGTTAGTTTAAATTAAGAAATACTTATTTTCTGCTGTTGCTCGTATAATTTGTTGTTTATAAATCTTCTATAAGCCTTTATGACGACTTAATATGCGATATGCAAATGGGATTATATTGTAGGATAAAACGAAACTACTTGATGATCTTTTGGAACTTGAAGTTACATACAGCATTTTGAAAACTGACGATGAAGTGGATAGAATGCGTGATCCTTTGGACGTACACTATGAAAAATTGCATGCTCAGCTAGAGGTTTTTACATCCTTATACCTTGTTTTTATTCGACTTTTTCAATCTTTGTATGCGAAAGATTTCAGTTTTACACTAAGAAATCGTCCAACTGTAACCTAAGAACAAAACAAACTAAGCTTTTTCAGGTTTTGGATAAGCAATCAGATGAATATAAGCGCATATTGCAGTATGCTACGAATACGCACGCGCCCACACATGACCAATACAAACTTAAAATTATTGATGTCTGTTTATGATAATTTTTCTGAAGTTTTACAAGAAATGATTTGGGGAAGTACTTATTTGATTAGAAGTTCCCGTACAATTCTTTCATTTTCTTCATGTTATGAAGAGCAAGAATTGTTTTGTAGATCATCCGAATAAAGCGTAGGGGCGAAAGTGAAAGGTTCAAAAAAAACATCCCAAATCATTATTTGCTTTGGCATGGTTCACGGATAACGAATTATGCTGGTATTTTATCACAGGGATTACGAGTTGCACCACCAGAAGCACCTACAGTATGAAGTCTTTATTTCTAGTCAAATCTTGCTATAAGATTTGGCAGCAAAGTGGATTTTTTTTTAATTTTAAAAAAGTTTGCTTCAGAATAATTTTTTTGCTGTTGCAAGTTTTAAATGATATACATCAAAAAGAATTTGAGAGAAATCTATTCAAAATAGTACCAAATTGAAATTTTAGACAGGTTATATGTTTGGGAAAGGGATATACTTCGCAGATTTAGTATCAAAGTCAGCAAACTATTGTTATGCACTTAACGCAGAAGGGTTTATTTTGCTTTGTGAAGTGGCACTTGGAGAAATGCAAGAAGAGATCAATGCAAAGTCAATCATAAAACCTGATAAAGGAAAGCATAGTGTTAAAGGTATGAATTTGATGTTGACTTTGAACTGTTTGAAGCAGCACATGTGCAACTGATTCTTTATATCCAAAACATTTTGTTATTCTTGTTTCGATATCAGCAGTAGAAAACACAGTAGCTCAAAATTATACAAGGATTGTAATAGAACAGTCTTCAAAACTAAACGTAATTCGAAATTTAAGCGTAAAACCAAGGTACTGATTGAGCAGTTTCTCTTCGAATCTTCATCGACATTAATAATAAAAAAAATTAACGAAACGTTTTGTTTAAAAAACTCATGTATGTAAAATATAAATGTACATTTTAGGTTTAGGACAAACGATTCCTGATCCAAATGAGTACTTTGTGACAGAAGATGGTGTTACAATTCCTATGGGAAAACCTATAGATACGAAAAGACAGGATCTGACGCTTTTGTACAATGAGTTTGTTTTAATTTATCACTTGCAAGAATATTTAAGCTATATCAACCGTGAGAACTTTTTAGAAATATTCATTCTTTTTCTGATGTTTGCTTCAGTCAGTGAACAGTAAATGAATAAATAAGATATTATATTGCAGGGTTTTCTCAACATTTCATATATATATATAGTAATGATTTAGTCGGTTGCAGGTATATTGTTTACGACGTTGCTCAGGTTGAGATCAAATATTTGGTGCGAGTTAAGTTCATATCATCTCTCTTATGAATTTGCAAGATCTCCAATATTTTAGTGCAAGGTCGACCGATATCTTTCATATCTTCTTATGAATTAATCTTTTCTACATGTGTTTTATTGTTCAGTGAAATTTTCATGTTTATTGTTCATCTGTTTGAGTACTGATCATATCAAATTTAATGGTCATGCATTTCTAATTTGGAATTTTAAGTTAATAAAGTTTTATCGAAATTTGTTTTGGAAAATTGATCATGCTAGTAGCAATGGACAATTAAATTGCAGAAATATAGATTGTTAAGGCTTAAGCAGTCGTATTCATTTGTAGGGATTATTTGGAAATATTCTATTAATTTGTAATTAATATTTAACTACCATTACATAATTTAAATAGCAATGCAATGAAGTAGTATGTATGGCGTGTCATAATTCAGCATTTCGGCTTACTTGCACACTCCCATTTAGACTTCAACGGGGAACTTCAGACTGTTTTCTTGTCAAAGGGGGTTAGTCTCTAATTCTGATTACTGTTTTGTTGGGATGACATATTTTCATAGCGCCGCCCTATTTCTAGAGCATTCTAGAAAACTGAGTGGAAGGCATGAATGTCGGTGTGTTCGTTTGTGTGCGTTGTTGTGTGTTTGGTTTGTGTGGGGTGGGGTATGTTTCGGGTAGTGCGTGTTTTTGTACTGGGGGCAGTGTTCTGTCTCAGACAGATAACTTATTGCAGAACAATCTTTGATCTTTCCATTCAGAGCGATGGCGAAGTGGGGTGAGGGTGACCCGCGATGGATTGTGGAAGAACGTCCGGATGCCGTCAACGTCAACAACTGGCATTGGTAAGTCTTTTCATTTTTGAAAATTGATAGGTCACAATGATTGGAATTGCTGTTTAAAGGATCATCTCTATCAAATTACATCAGAATACAGTTGTGATATCTAAGATGGTTGTCTTTCTAGCTAAGAATGCTACTCTTGTGCTTAATATAGTAATATTTTGTTGGAAATTATTGGGATAAGAATACAATCAGATGTTAAGCAGATCAGTTGAAAGTTTGGAGTATTATAGGACAGAAAAAAATGCAACGCCTTGGTCAAAACAGCGCCTGAAAGAACTGCTAGAAGGGCAGAAGTATGAAAATGGCTCTACTGTCGTCATATTTAAAGAGCTTAAAAAATTAGACGGTGAAGCGACGGCAAACAATCGGAAAGCAAAATTAATTTTCCTCTTTGAGTGGCTCATTGAATTAAGTTTTGAAGGTCATTCTTTCTCTACTCAAATATGAATAATTTACATGTTTAGGACATTGAAATCTGCAAAAGATTTTTTATTTTGTGACTACTTCTGTTCCTGTATAGTTCTTTTTCTTGATTATGCTTTCAATTCCAATGTTATTAGATTTTGCAGTAAAAGTTGCTGGTTCGGACATCGATTATGAAGGACATGTTGAAATACCGAATTTAAGCGATGAAAATGAAGCTGATGAAGTGGTTGTATGTTGCCTTGTTTCATTTCTTTTCCTTTATTTGTTCTTTTCTACTAATTTCAAATACAGTTGTGGTTTATGAATGAGGAAATAGTTCATTTATACTGAAAAGAGATGTACGTGGAAATCAGTGGTTTTCTACACTAACATTTTTTTCTACACTAAACATTTTTAGATAACTCCATCAGTAACAACTAGTGGACCTCATGAAGACCGAATAAGACATCTTCTAAATAATGAGGTGGCTATATTTTTACGTAAACAGTTAGCTGTTTATATTCGAGAATTGAAGGAAGAATTCAGCAAAGGCTTGATATTACCAACTGATCGTGCGAAAGCACAAGTGGTTTCGAAGGGAAAAACAACAATTGGAAAGCAGCATGTTGATAAGAGGGCATTCCAGAATCATGTGGTGCTGCTTTTTCGTAATTTTCCAAACTTCTTTTGATGGAATTCTGATTTCCCGTTTTAAATTAAAATCATAACCTGATGTGACTTTTTATCGAGTTTCTTATTTATTCCAGGTGACCAGTGCTGACAACGATCTCATAAAATCTGCGCGTCAGTTTTTTGTTTTCTTTATTTTGAGAATTCCTAATTTTCTTTGTTTCCTCAAAATCTCCTGTACTGAAATTTCTTTCCAGATTCGTTGTTTTTCTACGAAAATTACTTGTATGTTTAAATGAAATGCGCTATTACAGCAGTCAGCGTCGATGTTAAAAGCTTGTCGTTTGTGGAGTCATTCAAAGTTCAGCCAGATCAGTTGTGGGAAGTACTCACAGAAGCTAAAGTTTGTTTCTTGTGTCTCGTTTAAGTCTTTTTTTCACAGGTACCTTGAACTCAGATTGCAATCATTGCAGATGGTGAAGAAATGGTCTAACAACGATGCAGAGCTTGATCTCAAACCTCATGGCGTTTTTACATTATTTGGTGGCATGGTTACGGGTGAATTCGTTAAAATTGTAGGCTCTCATGATAAATTTTACTTTTTGAAAAGTGTTGAGTTTCAGTCGAATTTGGATTTAAAATTTTGACTTTATCAGATTTCTGCTTTCATTCTCAATCGTTTATGTTTGACTCTGTGGTGTTTAGACTAGTTATCAATCTATGGTATTGTTAAGACTTTCGGAAAATTCTAATAGCTAACCTTTTCTTTCAGTGGTCATCTAACTTTCAAATAAGTGATTTTTTAGGAGCCCTGTAAGGAACTTGCAATGAAATGGCGCTTAAAAACTTATCCAGCAGGATGTTTTGCAGATGTTACCTTTAGATTAAAAGATGAGGTATGTATTTTTCCGTGGAAATTAGGATATATAGCAATCTTACTTGCATGAGATTTTTTTTGTAGCCATGCCTTTTCTTCATATTTATATTCATTTCCAGTATTTTACATTTAATTTTTCAAAAAAAATTAGTGATTTTATTTAGTGCACATAGAGTAGCTTTGTTTCGAGACGTTTGAAGGATTTCGATTAATATTTTCAGCAGTATATATTAAACAATTATTTTCTGTTCATTTTAGTGCAAGGAAAACAAACTTGTTTGATTAACTTAAAAATTTAAATCTTGGAGTATTATTTATTGCATTGATATTAAGCTCGAAACAATTTGGAGAAAATTTTCCAAGTAATTTTTGCACCGTGTCAACTTTTCAGAAAGATAGTACAACACTAGAAGTGGATGTAAAAGGTATCCCAGCGACAGAATATGACGGTACTGAGAACGGTTTGCATCGTTTTTATATACAGAACATAATGAGGACATTTGGATTTGGAGCGCATATTTTCTGAAGTTCGTGCTTTAGCACTTTTCAACGATCATTTACTAACCAGTACGCAGTGGATTTCTTATTCTTGCTTATTTTATTTAACATTATTTGAGACGAAATTCAGTCTGAAAGCTTGGTTCCACATACACTGCAGCGTATATTTGTGCTGGAGATGAATATAAATCTGTTGTTCAAATTCTTGTCAATAAAAGTTTTGCGATTATGTTTGCTTATTCAATAAACATAGCGTAGAAATGTTGATGAGCATAAACGGGAATTAAAGCATTCAGTCAACAGATATATTATTGCTTACATCAGATTTCTTTTCGATTCATAGTTAAATTTGAAAATTAGTTGGTATTTGTAAGTACATGTTGTTGTTGTGTTTCGCTTTTCGAAGTTTTAGTTTTGAAGCATCCTAAATACTGAACAGCAACACTCTCATTAAAAAACTATAGAAATCCAGATGCAACTAGCGTTTCAGGTAAGAAGTAACAATCTTTAGGAGTTGGTTAATCTATGGACGCAAAGCGAAAGTCCCACATTTGCGATGGATGGTTAAAAAAGAAGCATGTTTTCTTGGCTTGCTTTTTTGAAATGTCAAGTTTATTCTTCTAGGAAGTGTTCTGCTCTTGTTACTTCTTTTCCGCTAGTATACTGAAGCGTTACTCCTCAAGTGCTTTACTTGCTGTACCATAAGATACAAAGTTGACTGGCATTGATTGTACCATTTATATAATCCACTTCGTGTTATCTACAAAGTATATGTATACAATTGTTATATTAGCAACAGCAAGATACGGCTAATTATTTGAGGAAAGATGAACTTTGAATCTTTTTATTGAGTGCTTGTATCCTAATGCATGGAATTATATGGTCCAGGACAGGGAGGGTTATGCTTAGTTCCGGATCCACCGACGCAAAGAATACTGTCTATAGTTTTTTATTTTGTTTTTTATCAAAGCTTTATTTTCTATATCCCATCTCACTAATTTACTAATATCATCCAAATCTTACGTGGTTGTCAAACCAAATCTCGTTTCGCTTCTCAAGATTATTTCGCAGAAATTGCTTAGTATCTGTATCATATGGTTATTTGGCGATGATACAAAATGTGGACTCTTTTTTTCATTCGTATCTTGTTTGGGCTGAAGAAATAACGTTCTTCCATGATTTTTTTTAAAAAATGATATATGCAAATCATCCACTTTTATTTAAAATATTTTGAGGTGAATGAAAAGGAACCTTTGATTTTCTTTCTGGTAGGGCAAGAAACCAAAAGCTCTTTTAGGTGCACAGGAAGAAAAAAGTTGAATTTACTAACTAGTCACAACGCAGTTAGTTAATATTGGGATGTATCCACTCGGTTAAAGTTGTGGTGAATCCACGAAATCTAATGGATTTCAATTATTTAAGGAAAAATGTGATATTAAATGCAGTTTAAGTTTCACACTATATTATACGTCTAAATATTGAAAAGAGAGATATGCACATACGTTTCGCTAATATTCCGATGTATTTATAAGGACAAACACTTTGTATTGTCGTTTTGAAGTGACTGATCTGTCGCAGATATCCATTAGCTTCACGCTAATATGCTACTTGTCCCTCCTATCGTCTTGCAAATCTCTTTTCAAATCCAGTAAGCAAGCGAAAGCTATTGCACAGTGTCTATTTTCAGCCAAACAACAAAGATCCTTTCATTATGTGTTTTGCTGGAAGCGTAAGCAGTGAAGATGGCGCCTGTTAAACAGGCAGATAAACCCTACGGGAAACGTTATCCGTCAACATAATTGTCCTGAAATAAAATTTAATCTCATCAATCAGTATAGAAAGCAAACTGATCAACTGAGACAGTCAAAATTTCTCTCTCATTCGTTCCTCACCACCTGCTCAGGCTTACCTTTTTTTTTTTTTTTTTTTGGTGAGCTCGTCTTTGCATCTAGTACTCAGTTTCTAATTTCTCCAATTCGGCAATACCTTTTTTATTTTAGATTCATCGAATTTTCAAAATAGGGTTTCTAATCTCTGTCCCACTATTCAGTTCTCTATAATGTATCTATCGCATTTTTTGCCAGCTAACCATTTGCATTCCTTTCTCTAAAAAAAAAAAATTAGATATCAGTTGAAGAGTCGAATTATTGCTCTAATTACTATTATAAAGTCTTATGATAAGAAATAAAATTTGTTTTTGAATTAGAGATAAAGGTGATGATTGTGAATCGAATTATTCTATCACAGCTATTCAGTTTTAAGAGCTTCATTAAGCAAATCCCTCTGTGTATGTTACTTCCAGATTTCTTGTCTTTGGATATTATTTCAGCGAGTACTTCCAATTCTTAGTCCATACATTTTTGCATTTTATATGGGTTTGCTATGATCAAATTCTAACTTATTTTAGCAAATCCCACTGTGTTTGTTAATTTAATAATATATCTATTAATTTAATAACACAGAGAAATATTGATATTGTTTTGCTTTACTGTTTTCTTTTCCTATTTATCAATTTCTTCAATTAAGAAAAACATGCTGAAATGCTGAAAATAACTGATAGAGTGTGGTGAGTAGTTTTCTAGGCATAGCTCCCTTTGTTAGTTAAATCCAATTAATTATGAAGAGATTATAGTATTTGTGATAACGAAAAAAAAAAAAAACTTTCATTTATCCATTTGTTTACTGAATAGCTAGCATCAAGTACTTCATCATTTCAAATGAAAATTGCTAAGGGTATCCTGCAACTGAGCTTAAACTGAGCACAGTTCCTGTCACAGTGATATTTTGCTATGCATGGCTTAATATCTTTCATGATAGGTTCATGTTATTAGCTCTTAAAATATTCTCTTCATCTGCTAGTGGCAGGTCACTACTTTGGATTACAGGTATATTACAGCCAAAGTAATCAGATTATAAAGGATTTTCAATAGGCTGTTAACACTGTTTTCTGTTGGTTAGTGATAGCACTCTGCTAAACTTATCCTTTTTTAATGAACTGTTAATGGGCAGAACTTTCATCGATTGACTTGTTGTACTATTACACTGTCATCAGCTTTTCAACAGATCGAGTAGGACAATGTACTGCTTCTTCCATCCATTTCATCAAATTTTTTATGTTTTGAATCTCTCCAGAGGTCCATTGAAGTTTTATAGTCTTCGCTCTTTTTAGCCTTAAGAGATTTAATTGAGCTGTTGAATGAATCGTTTTAGTTTAAATTCCGAGATATGAATTTTTTATACAAATTTTTGACTTTCTTCTATGATTAGTAAATTATCAATTAGTTGTTTTGCCATTTTCTGATGCGATAATCACAACCAGAAATAATTATTTAGATGTTTTTATCGACCCAGCAAATTTAAGGTGGAAATATATTTCTCAGTGATTCAAACTTCTTATGTAGTCATATGCCTAGTTAATTAATTTCGCATTTGTCACGATTAGATACTTTCTTACGTAGTACAAAAAGTCTATCACTCACACAAAGCTATTTTTTCTTACATTTTGATTTCTACTATAAATAACTCCTGGTAATTCTAAAATCCTCCAAAATTTTCTTGCACTTATCTTTTTCGCCTTTTTTTTCAAAATATTGATGTGTATTATTTAACATGTTACTAGTTACTGCTAACGTAATGACTTCTTCTTACTAATTTTTTATATTTTTTAATATATTTTAATATAATCCATAAATGATGTTTTAAGGATGCATCTAAGGCCATCGGATTATTTCACTTGATATTTCTAGTAATAATTTGTTGATAACGCTATATTAGAAACGACTAATTACTTTTATTCAGTTTAAAATCTTTTTTTTTTTTTATTTCAAAAACAGAGACAATGTTGATATTGTCATGAAGTTTGCCCGTACGAATAGCATTGCTTTTGCAATTTTATTAACCGAAACGTTTTTTTTTTCTGACGCGGTAGTCTGGCTATCTTGCTCAATTAATAATATTTTACGCAATGCATCGGATTTAAATTTTCACATTTCCTATTTTAATAATTTCTTTGCAAAATCACCTGGCCTTGAGAATTTTATTTGCTCCTAATTTTGTCCTGGAATTCTTAACTCTAGTTTCTGAAAGATTTCAGAGAAAATTTTATCAGTATTGAAAAGGGCAATTAATAACAGCAGTTATGCACTGAAGCAAAAAAAAAAAAAAAAAAGCTTCATTTTAACAAATTGTTAGTAAATCGGTGGATTGGCATACAAAGTTGATTTCATCATTGTTTTTTGCAATTTTATTATCCGAAGCGTTTCTTTCTAATGTCCTAATATGAATGTTTTTTTAACAATGCAAGGTTCAAGGATTTAAGAGAAAATTTTCTCTTAAAATACTAGTACTTTTTCGAACTTCGAAGCCTTCAAAATCCTATCAAATTCATCTGAATAAAGAAGAAAGTTAGACCTAATGAAATCGGTCTTTTCTAGATATACTTTATATAACACACATAAATTGAAAAGTTTTTGAAATGATGGCTCATTGATTCCGAAGTATGTTTCGATGTTTAAGTATTCAGTATCTTTGAGGGTATTTAGCATCTTTAAAATTGAAATATTCATTAAATTAAATGCGTTCAACAAAATGAAACATTGATTTCTTTGAAAAAAAAAAAAAAAAGCTTTTGAAGAAATCTTTTAGGGGATCAAGAGAAGAGCTTTCAATTAGTGGGACATATTGAATTTTGTCCCTCTATTTATGGGTAATACAAAATGAAAATGAAAGGAGGTACATGTCCTATGCTTTTTTTATTATTGTGGCTCGGAAGCTTTGAATAATTAGCAGAAATTATTTCATATAGTCATAGTTGATGCAGTGAGAAGTAATTATTTGTCAAAGTGATAAGCGGCCAATATCCCTCAAATAGCTGTTTTGCGCTGGCATCGACATTCAGCGAAAATAACTAACAAATCATTTGATAAAGATGTAGAGGAAGAAAATACATTTTTATTAAATTTTATGCTTCACTCTCACACTATGAATCATTTTTGCTGCTGTCAGTAAAATTAATTGTTTAATCGTATT